TATTTGCTATAGTCGAATATGCCGTAGTCTACTATCCTACTATCGAGAAGACGCTACCCTAACCCTAACCCGGTCCTATTTTTGCCGAGGTTTCTGCTATTACGCTACTTACTTATTACCTTCTATATYTTCCCCCTTCTATTCTACCTATTATACGGCTAGCGCTATTATTATATATAATTATAGGACGTCTACCTAACATTTTAGCGGAGCTCCGACCTAAGGTTATTAAGCTATAGAACGATACTATAAGCATTACGGAGATATAGGTATACCTCGAGACGTAAAACGTCGTCGCCTCCGAACGTACGATCCGTATAATCGTATCGCTTAATAGTAGGAATCGCCGCTAGTCCCTAATCGCCGACCTTCGTAACGRCCTCTCCCTCTATATCCGGATCGCCGACCTCTTTTACCTCTAAGCGTTACTAGATCCGTTTATTATAGACGAATTAAAGAAGGACGGTTACGATATTAAATATACTACCTTTATACGGCTACGTCGGTAGCTCGGCCTTAAGTTACGCATCCGTAATATAGAGTTTACGGAGCGTAAGAACGAGTTCCTTAATCTCGTTATAAAGGAGCTTAATCGCTCTAAGATCGATACGTATAGTAAGGTTCTCCTATAAATATACTTCCGTATAACCGACCGTATAAGGATTACGCTTAGTAGGTAGGTATAATAGTACGCCTTATAGTTTCGGATTATACTACTACTCCTATATATAGTAATAGCTAACAAAGTCCGTAGGCGCCGCTTATACGAACTAGTCCGTAAGGTCTACCTAGTAGGGGCGTATAATAGATCCTCTCGATTTACGCGCCGTCGAGGTATCTATACTACGCCTAGGCCGGACTATTATTAGAGTATAGATGCTTACTATAAGCTAGAGGACTATAGATTTTAAATCTACGCTRCTATTAACGCCGATATAAGATACGTTTTATACTAGTATTTAGGTCCTTCCGCCCGTATAATAGTATCTGTCTTGTCTAGTTTCGCTTACGCCGCTAAGAAATATAAACGAGTACCTCGTAAGATTCGCATAGATAAGGGGAAGGAGACTATACTCCTTATATAGGCGTAATACGAATACGCGAAGAGGACCCGTTAGTATAAAGTACGCTTCCGGAACTGTTTTATTTTCGGTTTAAGTACTCGTAACGTTCGAGTTAAGGCCTAGTAGGGCTAGCTTACCCGAGGGCGGATAAAGAAGTAGTATATAAGTCTAAACYACCTACTTCCTATAGCGCGACTTCTACTTCGTATTATACTAAGCCTTAGGTGCACGAACTTAACGCTTACTACTATAGGTCTTCTTTACGAAATAYAAGAAATCCGGCTAGTTCTATAAATTAAAGCGGTCCGATCGCGTAGTAATAAAGTACATCTATACGCCGATTATGCGAGAGGAGATAGCTTCGTTTATATAGACGTAGAACCTAYATCCGATCCGGAAGYAACCGAACCGACCCTATATAATACCTAGGATCCCTTACTATYRATATTATTTCGCTAAGGCCTAGGGGCGTAAAAGTRTTAGGCATRCTATCGACGAGGAGTATATTAATAGCCTAGTAGATRCCTGTTCTRTATAGGGTGCGTTTRTATAGGCGGACGCCGTTTATAYAGTTATTATATWCTTATTTTGCTAAYAACTTTAGATCCTAATAAATATTTRCTACTAGTAACTYRGGAACTATATACTAACATTCTAAAGGATRTTAGGTTCGCGACCGGCCGGCCTAGCTCTTACCGCTTTATACTAGAGGTCTAACGGCTAGAGYACTAGATTACCTACGAGAACCTTATTAAATAGTTAYRTAAGATGCTAGACTACTAGTTAGAGGAGACTACTATCCTAAGGGGAGGTAGGAAGTAGGAGGGGTTTAAAGTAAACTCCGAGGCTATTATATAGACGTTCCTTAATTAGTACGATAACGATTATAAACGTAAAGTACTTAAGGAGGTACTAGATAGGGTTATAGATCCGATCTTAGAAAAGGAGGAGGACGGGACTAGCTCTAATAGCGAGGATAACTACTAGTTAGATAAGGAGGAGAATCTATAGCACGTATAATAGCATATAAGCATTCCCTATATTATCCGAGGTTACTATCTTACTTATATGCGCTAGTATAAACGTTCGGAGTCGCCCCTTATGCGCTATATTAGTACTAAAGGTATAATCTCTATAGCAACCGTATAATAATCGTACGATCGTACCGTATAATTCGAACCTTTATATACTACCGCGGTGTATAAAGCTATAAACGGGACCCTACTATCTCTACCCTCCCTCTATTCTTCGGTCTACGACTCGGCTACTACTACTATTATAGCTCCTATACGATCGCGATACCGTCTACGAACCCCGAAGCGCTTTATACGGAGGAACGATAGGTAATAAGAAGTAATAGAAGAAGCTATAGCCTCGAATATATATAGAGCGTAATAATTTTAATTACGGCGAAACCCTACGTAACGATATTAAGTGCCCTTTCTATAAGCTCTATAATCTAACGCCGCTAGTTATAAGCAGCTCTAAGGGCTTTATATAGCGGGCTACGTAGCTACTAGCACGCTAGCCTCGCCTTAACGGCGCCGGAATCCCTYCTAGAGTTACCCCTATAGAGATTRCCTCTAATATAGAAACATCCGAYRATAAGCTAGTTAGAAYAGGCTAGAACTACGGYRATAAYAATTACCTAAATAATACTAGTCTAAAYAATAGGCGCTCGATAAATAAGCGCTAGYRGAAGATCGATACYRACTATATACGGAACCTACTAAAGACGGAGTACGACGCCGGTAACCTYCTAATTAGCCTTCGGCCTAAGGAACTAGCGGGAACGGCATCCGGCTCCTTTATATAGGTAAGGATAACTATTACTATTATTATTRCTAGGTMYACRATATTACCTAAGGACCCCGATAGGATACCGAAGTTTTAAAATAAGAAGAAGGGTATATATATAGTTAGTTTGTTACTAGCGACTTCGTCGTTCTAGATACYRGTATATAATCGCTAACTTTAATAGGGCAACCTTAAACTGTCTTAGTACCTAATTAGAAGTTCGATTATATAGCTACTATAATATAACTATTTAAGTATTTACTAGGTATAAAGTTAGAGATCGATTACCCTAAYAACACCCTTATATATATAACTAAGTAGTATAATAACCGTAATAGGCCTACTAAACTAGTATTTAAGGAATACGAAGGCTCGAGGCTCGCTCGTATCTTYCCGTAAGGAACGAAGAAGACGTATAGGGTGTTCTTAGTCTTTAAGCGGCCTAGCTAATACGATRTAGATAATTCCCTATTATATATAGCCGTAGCGGAAGAGAAGCTCGTTAAGGCTRYAGCTAGGCTCTATAAAAAAGCTATCGCTAGTAATAATAAGAAGAAAAAGAAGAAAGCCYRATCGGAGAAGCCGAAGGTAGAGAAACCTATACGTATTACCTATATAATATRCATCTAGTTRCTATRCTAATTCCTAATAGGCCTCCGACGAYAACCTAGATAATATCGATATTACCGTAACTACGGACGATAGCGACGAAAGCGACGCCTATCTTTTAGCGAACGTTATAGTTTATATACCCTTTCCTCCGTATAATAGTACACCTACTAACGTACGTATAGGTTAAGCCCGAACTAGTAGTTAAGGAAGAACTAGTAGTTAAGGCAGAACCTACCGACGACCGCTAGAAGAAGGAGTTATTCCTTTAGAGACTAGAGTAATCTCGCATAGAGGTAAGTAGCTATAGTACTACCCTTTCTGCCGTATAATAGATAATAACAATATATAGCGTTTCTCGGTCCTAGCTAAGTAGGGCGGAGGTTCTTCGCGGACCCCCCCCCCTCCTTAAGGGGTTAGTTATAAGCGTAGCTGTTCTTAGATTTCCCTTACTTCCGAGCCTAGTAGTGCGCTACTAGCGGATCGTACGCGTAATCGATTAAAGCGCCGTTAAGAGTAGGGTATACGTTAACTATAGATAGCGTTACTATCTAGAATTATTAGCTAGAGTTTATATAATACTTTTATCCGGTCCTTTAACGGACTTCCCTCTTAGTTAGTATATAACATAGCTTTCGAATTGTACTAGCGTTTACGATTTATAATATACTTATATCGCACCTTTACCTTTTATCGTGTAGATTAAGCTATAGCTCTTAGAGGAATATACTACTATATAACATATACTAGTTTACGATATCTCTATACCTTAGCTTACGCCTTCTTCTCTCTACGCTTTATATAGGTAAATAGAAAAGAGATAAGTAATAGGTACAAGGCAACGCCTTTAGATAAAATTATAAGAGTGTCGATATACTAACGGTAACTAGAACAAATCTTTACGATACTATTATATAGCCTAGCACTCTTACTATATCGAAACCTTATATATAATACGATACAATAGCGTAGGAAACGCTGTAATACTCTAACTCCGGCGCCGAGGTAARGCTAAGAGTAGTAGTGCATTCTGAAAAGCTATTTATGGGTTGTTGCAGGGAAGTCGCTAAAAGACCACCGTACGCATTCCCACCGACAGCTTTCGAGCTTCTCTCCTTCGTCTTCTCCAACAACATCATGCTCATCCCACATGAACATGGTTTCCTACTGCTCGCCCTCCGATGAGCGACTTCACGCCCTGTGTCCAGCGAACAATGCTAGGGTGCCCAGGCCCATCATCCGGTGGCCTGGAATGGCATGGTCGCTCGCTTGAGCAGCAGGTACAGATGTGTGTCTGCTGCGCCCCGGAGCTGGGTGAAGTAATGCAAAGCCTGGCTTTGAATCATGTTGACGGTCGAAGGTCATCATTCACGATGTACAGCTTTGGATATAAGGCTGAGCTAAGTATTCTCTTATTTCTGCTGCCCATTTCCACTTCTGCTGTCGCGTTTTCTTTCACCAAAGCTGGCCTTCCTACGTACAAGCCAAGGAGTTGGGTTTAACACGGCTCAAATCGCCCACGGCATCGGTATGGAGATGCCTACCAGGACTGAGGGTTTCGAGCATACGGACTGGCCATTGTTCTCAAACTTCGGAGGAGCGTTTCCTGATGTGACGGCACAGAGTGTACGCCGCCAGCTTYAGTTACCTTGTCTTGCCTTCAATGTTGTCTAACGATTCCGTCTAGACATCCTCCAGCGCGCCTCCAATCGACTCAGACCATATGTACTTTCAGCCTCGAATACCAACCGGGATGTCGGTGTCACGTACATCAAGTGGATTGGACCACCATTGGGCACCTTGGGATATGCAATATGAYGGATTCTCAGATCCACACGACCTCGGTAGACTCTCGCATTCCGTCCCAACATCGTCACAACCGCAATCGTCAACTTTCGAGGCCGCCCTTGGCAGGCCGGGACTCCAATCAAGGTATTGGCCAGATGCTCCAACGCCTAGAGCTGCACCAAGCGGTGCGTCTCTAGACACTCTCTATGAACCACCAACGTCGCATCCTTACAATACAGTGGATCAGTCCTTCATATATGGAGCTGCTGGATACTCGGGTCAACATCAATATCAGGCTGCACCAACTCCAACATATCAGTCCCCCTCGTCGCAGTTCAGCTGGTCGCAACCCGACTTACTTCCATCTGATCTAACACAGGCGGCGGCCCCTTCCATGGAAATCTCGCATATAACTCCAACGATTCCGTCCGGTTTCCCTTCTGAGGGCGTCGATGGTCGTATGGTGGATCCTGCCGTAGGGGGCATGCTGGGTTGGAAACGCCGCTCCTCAGCCCTGGGCGTTCAAACATTGCCGCTTCTAAACACAGGTCTCTTGGCACCACCAGACAGAGGCAGTTCCAATCGATCACCATCGTCTGCGTCGACTGCAGGCTCTTCCTCGTCCTTCAGCAGGCTTCGACCTGCACCTGGCGATCTTTCGTGTCACTCTTGTAACATGACGTTCGCAAACCAAGGTGATCTGTCCCACCACCTGCGATCGCACCAGCCGTATTCCAAACGGAAATATGGGTGCAACAAATGCGACAGGCGCTTTCAGTATCGCAAGGACCTGCTTCGACATCTTCYAAGACACGATCCTCACAGACAACGATTCCATTGTCCTTTCCGAGGTTGCAAATATCACAGCAAAGGTTTTGGCCGCCAGGACCATCTCGATCGTCATATTGGTAGCCAGCATCAAGACGATATCCCCATGACGGCCAACGCAAGTCAGAGTACATGGATTGACRACGATACGAGAGAAATGTGACAGCTCTGAACGAACCAACGGGAACCAGGCCTACAGTTGGGAATGACGTTTTCATGCATGTGTATCTTCCTTCATCGCATATACCCTTCTGCAATCTCTTGCGTGCATGGTTTGGGCTCCTGATTTGTGTACCAAAGATATCTCCTCCGATAGAAGGGAGTAGTAGATTTGGACACCAATGGATTTGAAATACAACAACTATTTGCTTCATAAAAGTCAGCTCTATCGATGCCACAACTTACAAGATGCAAGCAATGCGACGTGCACTGAAGTGGAGAGACCCCAATCGTATCCGACTCCTGCATCTCGACAGCATAAACGCCCTTTACACTAGTTACAAATTACGATAGGCCAGGTCAAGTGGCACATTATGCATGATGCCGCGGCGGCGATACGGGCCGGCACCTTCTCAAGTCCTCACCAATAATGGCGGCGCTGTTGCTCGGCGTGATATGGGGCATTCCGGCGTGTACAGCGACACAGAACAGGGTGACTTACATTTCAGATATCCATGGTCAAGAATCATTCATGTCCAATCCCGCTCTCAACGTCAACTCAATCTCTGAAATGCGGCCCCACTTCCCGCCAATGCTTCTGGCTTTAAGAATCACGTGCAGGGCCGAGCCAGCTCCAGACGCGCTGCGAACAGGCTTTGCTATCACCACGTCTGCGTCTGCGCCTTGCAACTCTCCGATCTCCCCGCTCGTTTGTCCTACAGCGCCGCACTTCTGTGCTGCGGAGTAGTCAAATGAGCATTTGACGTTTGCAGGGGCGAGATGCATAGAGTTGGCCGGCCGGCGTTGATCGAGCTCTTCGGCCATCTCCTACGTGTCTTGCTGCACTTCTCACACCGGAATCTGGCTGCGCCAGGATACTGCCTGGTCGACCACGATGTCGACTCGCTCACCCGTGTACCGAGCTCTCGACATCCGTCCACGCTTATGAGCGGGAGAAGGTGGGTTTGCGTCGCAGGTATGCGGCCTCCCGGCTTACTGGGACCATTGTCGGGCTCGAGGTCCTGGTCTGTTAGGTAGGTTGCATCGTCATCTCGAGTTGTACAGCAGTTGCAATTTTGTTTGCGTGTCTCGAATTCACTTCCGGCAAGAAGACAAGTCGACCGCGGTATCTGCTGTTACAACCTCTTGAGACTACCAGCAATTGCCCCAGTTCCCAAGAGGGCAAAGGCGATCAGGGCGCTTTCGCAGTGTACACATATTCATTTTCGCATGTTCCACCTCCTCTAGTCCTGTTGAAAGAGATACACCGTTCAAGATTCCAACCAGAACTTCGGCATGGAGGAGCTCAACTTTGTTGGTTCAAGCTTCGAAGAACTCGATTGCGAGCAGTACTACAATCAGGTTCGTCTGTCACTATGCAGCAAGGAAGATGTCGACGCTGACGAGACATGACCAGCTCGCAGCCAGCGATTTTCACACAGCAACCTGCCTCACCCCGTGGGAACCACCCGACTTGTGTATTGACTGTTTCGTTTCGATTGCTTCGAACGATGCCCAATTACCGGCGTCTGGGCTGTACGGCGCCGTACAGAACACTGTGGACACGCCGGCAATGACTTATGCACAAGTTGCGGCGTTCTCGTCGCTGGTRGAGCCGACACCAGTGCGCCGTCCTTGGGCGACGTCCGATGCAGAAACAGCTCGACCAGGGACACACTCACAGCCTCGTCCAGGACCAGTATTTCGGCGGTCGCGGCCTCAGGGTAATGACCCGCAGAGTGTTATTAAGGACTCTGGCGAGGCTGTGCCGGTTCGACAGCGGGCAAGCATGACTTATGCAGAAGTGGCGCAACACTTCGACGAACAAGATGAGCTTGATGGAGGTTTTGGCAGTCGCAGCCTCTATACCTCTACAGAAAACAGTCTGGGGTTACCAAATCAGAACATCTGCTGTGTTTCGAAGCAGTCGCCTTACCGGACCTCGCGCTCAGTGTCATCGCGGGCTGCGCCATATTCTATCTCACAGGTTCGGCGCCAGCAACCTCGCGATGTGTGTATTCCTACGCTCTCTCAGCAAGAGCACAACTTCGACCCGCGTAACCCTTATACTCTCGTTCAGAGAACGACAAGAGGTGGACATCGAGATCCCGTGTCAGCAGATCTGACTGCCAGCGAGTCGGCCTCGCCGTTGTCCTGTGGCACTCTCTCAACGATATCAGCAGCTAGCCGGTCCCGCAGAAAGGAAGTCCAAGACCGTCCCCATCCTTGCTTGGTGTCGGGTTGCCTGTGGAGATTCGTCAATCCAAAGGACTTGAAGAGGTTAGTGTAGATCAAGGGATTCCAGGGGCGTTGTCGTTTGGCAAAGGTGCTAACGTCCTTGTTTCCAGGCATCAAAAGACACATGCTCCGGGTGCCACTCCTGCCTTTCCGTGTCCCTATCCTTTCTGCATCAAATCGTTCACTCGTCACGATAATCGCATGCGCCATGTCAGGTCTGAGCATGCAGATGACTCCGGGCTGGGGACGTCCGCGAGCAGTTCGGAGTATGCCAGCGTATCTCATTCTTCCTTTCCACTGATGTGATATTTTTGGACGGCGATATTATTAGTAGTAGAGCGTGTTGTTTTCAAATGTGCTACATAGTATACCATCAATACTGTTGTGCCAATGGAAGAGCAGCATTCATTGTAAWTTATTGCCCTTCGCGCCGCTAGTCAGCTCCACACGCGTCTAGAATATAGCTTCAGCCACGCGACATCCCTCCCGTTTAACATCGCACCTCTACCAACATCATGCCATAAATTCTCCGCCCGCGATTCAACGTTCGCCATGCAGCCTGTCCGCGCAAGTAAGCGCCGGAAGCTTGATCGGGACGACACGGCCAAAAGCTCGCCTGCTTCCCTTCAGCCAACAGCCGCCGACAAAAAGAACAAGCGTGTGCAGTCCTCGCCTGCCGTCAATGGAAATGGGCAAAATGGCGGATCGAAAGCGGAAGAATCGGGGTCGGAGGAAACAGCAGGAAAGGTCCTGTCTGCGCGCGAACAATGGCTGCAGGCTAAAGCCAAGAGCGCCACACGAAAGGGCAAGAGGCCGAACGTCTATGATGATATTGAGGGCGGCAATGTTGGCAGAGAGCCATACGGACGCATGACAAAGCCAGTGAAGAGAGAGAGGCCAACAGCGCCCAGCAAGCCCACTGCGGCACCGCTGGGCTTCTTCAAGCAGTTTGCAAAGGCCAAAGTCGATGCTGCTGCAAATGCAGGTGTGAGGAGAAATAGGGTGGATGATGACGATGAGGATGATGAGGATGGAAGCATCGCCGACAGCGAAGACGACGATCAAAGCGAGGATCAGAGCAACATTCAAGTCAAACAGACTTCACGAAACGGCAAGTACTGGACRGCAGCGACGCCGGGGAAATCAAAGAAGACTTTCGAAGATGAGATTCGGGAGGTTGAGGCGGCGGCGCGGAAGAAAGTAGCTGCTGGTGACAATGCCAGTGAGGACGAACTCGCGGAGAATGGCGAAATGCGGCGCTCTTCGTCGAGGAAGACTTCCATACAAAAGCCCGCGAGAAATCAGAATGAGCTGAAAGGCGCTGCGAGCCCGGTACGGAAAGCGTCCAAACCACAGCCACTGGACCGAAGGAAGGCCAGCAGTGTAAAGTCTGCTGATGTTGAGGATGGTGCATCAGACGACGACATCGAGATTGACGATTCGGAAGATGGCCGGATTGCGAATCATGTACGGGTATCGACTCCGAAGAAACTGAGGTTCGAACCGCGCAAAAGCACTGGCATCAAGATCGCACTCCCACCTTTCGCAACGGACCATCTACAGTGCATTCGAAGGATTGTCATTGAGAAGTGTGCCGGGAAGCGTCCTATACCCCTTACCAATCTCGCAGATGAGTTTGCCAAGGTCAACTCCCTCGTCAGCCAGACTGTCGCAGCCGGGGAGAGCAACAGCATGCTCCTCATAGGCGCCCGTGGCAGTGGCAAAACTGCTCTCATAGATCAGGTACTCCGTGAACAAAGCATACAGCATCCCAACGACTATCACATTGTCCGTCTTAGCGGATTTATCCACACGGATGATAAGATTGCTTTGCGCGAGATTTGGCGCCAGCTAGGCCGCGAAATGGAGATAGAAGATAACGAAACTTCCAAGAACTACGCCGATACTCTAACGACTCTCCTCGCTCTGCTATCGCATCCTGCAGAGACCGGTCGAGATGAGGAAGGTCATATCACGAAGTCGGTCATCTTCATCCTGGATGAGTTTGAACTCTTCGCCACGCATCCGCGACAGACACTACTGTACAATCTATTCGACATCGCACAGAGTCGCAAGGCACCCATCGCAGTTTTGGGCTGTACTACACGGATCGATGTTGCTGAAAGCTTAGAAAAGAGAGTAAAGAGTCGATTCAGCCATCGATATGTGCACCTCAGCATGTCAAAGAGCTTGCAGGCCTTCGAGAGTGTATGTCGCAGTGCTATCGGCATCAAGCCCGCAGAGCTGGAAGGCGATGAGAAGGCCGAGCTCGGAGGCTCAGTCGAAGGCGTCGTGGCGAAGTTGCAGAAGGCTGCCTTATCCTCTACGGGCGGAAAAAGCAAGAATGAGCACGCAGACGCACCGCCTGGTCCACTCGATCAATGGAACACGTTGGTCGATGCGGTCATCTCATCTAGGACCTGCGCATCATTCTTGGCTAGGCTGTTCCACACCACTAAATCGATTCCAGAGTTCCTGAGCTCGCTGTTGCTTGCGATGGCAACTCTGCCAATAAACTCCGCACACACCTCCTCGGATCTACTGGAACACCTCACGACCACCATTTCAACAAACGCACTCCACCCACCCGACTCCAAGCTCTCCATATTGCCCTCGCTCTCCTCGCTCCAGCTTGCTCTCTTGATCTGTGCAGCACGTCTGACAAACATCTACAATTCCGAGGTCATCTCGTTCGCGCTTGCATACGAGGAGTACAAAAACTTGGCAAGCAAGGCTAAACTCCAGGCTTCAGCTAGTGGTGCTTTGGCACAGGGCGCCGGCAGTAGAGTCTGGGGTAAGAGTGTCGCCAAAAGTGCATGGGAGGGTCTGGTGGAGTGTGGGTTGATTCTGGAGGATGGTAGAGGTGGAAGAGTGGATGTGGCTATGGAGGAAATCGGAAGCTGTGGTGTGGAGCTGGGTAGCTGGGGAAGGTGGTGCAGAGAGATATGACAGGGAGCCAAAAAGAGTTGTTCGAACAGCTTTCGATTCATCCTGTCACGATCCGATGGCGGGACCTGTCTTGCCGCTGCTTCTCTCATGTTTCACGGGGTAGCAACCCGAAAAACAGATTGGTTCAGTGAGCTTCACCGCCTCCAAAGGCTGGAACCATAAGCAACCATTGTCTGCGCCCAGAGGCCAATCATCCTTTCGACCAGCCACATGCCTAATATACTCAGGACAGCGGGAACATTGCCTTCGCAGAATCGTGAGGATGCCCCTGATCATGACAGCATGCTACTTTGTAGTTCGCCAGCACGCCTTTTGAGAGTGATTCAGCATATTTAAACGTTGCCATTCGCTGCAACATAAAGCGGCGCCYGCAACCTCATGAGCTGGTTGTTTTTTGACTTTCGGGTTCTTGAGCGAGCGCGCTTTCTGGGGTCTTTGTCGCATGGTGTGGCTTGTTGTATTCATTTATCTAACCTTTGATCGACAACATAATGGTGCAAAGGTGGCGCATGCTTTTGCAGCGTCACTCCATACACAGAGAGGCCCTCCCATGCACTGACTGAAGCGATCCATTGGCGAAATTGGCCATCTTACTCCTGCGCAGACAATTGTCGACTTTAACGGAACATTACAATAGATGCAAGTCTACCTGCCTTTGGCTTTCGAGGGCGACTTTCTCGTGAATACACAATGCAGTCGAATCTTGTGAAAAGCCTTGAAAAGTCCATTTGACTGTCCTTTCAATGCATCGGCGCGATGCGCGAAGTGCTTCGCCTTCTATTTCCATCGTGTACAGGTATAGGTACAGCAGTCATCTTGCCGGGCCCGGTTGCGTTCCCGTATCCGATCCTTGGGTACATGTACACACACCGCACATCGCTGTAGTGTAACCTTGCCAGCAAGGTACGAGGCCGAGTCGGATCTGTACAATGACATTGGTACAGCAGTAACAATGCAACTTCCTCGACGTCTACTCCTGCTGACATTTCGCCCAGAGTCTAGAGCAGTCMGCTCACGAACGATGCATGCCCGRATGTTGCTGGCCTCGAGGTACCCTTGCCGATCCAACCAGTCTCCGCTAAATGAATTTGGCGGTCACATAGCATGCATGATGATGGATACGAYCGGGGCACGCGCCCTCTGCTGCAAGACGAAACAGACGAGAGCCAATGCACTGCGAATCGTCAGGTGTTCATGCTTTGTCTTCCCACACGAACGTCGAGGTTGAAATGACCCATGGACGTGGAGCTGGGTGCGCAATACCGGCCCTAGTAAGAAAAGGCTGCTGCCGATGACGGCGGCTTTGCTAGCCTCGACACGCTAATGCAAGCGTTCAATGCACGCAGCTTTTCCAGTCCCGATGCTGTGCCAGCATATCCGCGGCAGCGTCGATGGGACATTGAGGGCAATCGTGGATTATATTATCAGTGTACAAGGACAGCGTACATCTTACGGCTGTAAAGCGCAAAGTGGAAGACGCTTAGAGCTTCTTGCTCCGTCCAGCGGCCAAGCAGCGTTCCTGAAGCGTTCCCAGAGCGCGTTCGGTTGGAATTTGTCGGGTGAACGATCTGTCAATGCAGGGATCCGGGTCGCCGTTGGTTGGCGATCTCAGCGGTCCGCAGACACGACGCTCGAGAAGAGATAGCATCCTGCTCGGCCTGTCACCTCCTGAGGTCCAGAATCCAGAGATGCGATGTCAACAAGGTTGGCTTTTGTTCCCAACCCTGGACACGCTGCATGAATATGCTAGGTGAAGGCGACAATTGGGAACAGTAGTGTCTCGAGACCTTTCCGCTTTACGTCGAGCGTGCGTTTGACGCACTTCAGAACAAATGGGCCGGGCTTTTTGACACGGCTACGCCACTCTTAGCCGCAGGATTGCTTGCACTTTGTGGAGCTACCCAAACACCAATCCAGCGGTCAGCTGAACCGATTGCTGGGATAGCCTCTAGTAGACCCGAATCTTGAGAGGGAGACGGCCTGTCGTCACGCCGACACTGAATCGGCCACGCTAGCGAACGATATGTGAGGATTCTTCTGACTGCCATTCAGATCAACGAGTGAAGCGGTGCCTCCTTTTGCAAAATTTGTCTYGTCAGCGATCTCGGATCGTCGTCGCCGTCAGAGTGAGTACTAGCCAATGCGGATTCTGTCAAAACACTGACCATTGGGAGGTTACCGACCCGCTGGGTCTGCTTCTCGACCGTGTGACGCTGACGAGCCCTCTCTTAGGTAGTATGTCGGGTACTCCTCAACCTGTCAACAATTCTCTTTCGCTGGTCCACGGTCGATACTTTTCCCGCTTCGGCTTGGAAAACAACATCCACTGCGTTCCTGTGGACGAGGTAGGTTGTCCCTTCCTGAGACGAACATGCACTGATCTTGGTGGTGTTCGTGTAGAGACAGGAGAGGAGATACGATGAGATCAATGACGTCCTCCGACAACTTCTCGGTCGCACCGTGCTCCCTCCTGATTTGCACCTAGACAGCGTTGAAGACCCGGAAGTACTGGAATGTGGTTTCGGAAAGGGAGCATGGATAGACGATCTGCTCAAGGAGAATGATCAGCTCGAAATCGAGGTCCGTCTGAGCGTCTCGTTCCAGGGCATCTCATTTGTTGACCCCGAATCTTCAGGTCATTGGCGTCGACATCTTCACCGGAAAGGGGAACAATGGCGACGATAGCGAAAGCCCGGAGGAAAGCGGCAGCGAAGAGGAGGGAATAGAGGAATACATCAAAACGAGGTTCAACATGAATGCTCCATTCCGAGAGGAGAGGTCGGGATCCTTGCGTCCAGAAAAGTTTCACCTTGTCAACAGCCGGCTGCTTATAGATGGGATCAATGCCAGTCGTTGGCCAGCATTTGTCAAAGATCTTAAAGCTGTGCTATGTCCCGGTGGCTGGCTGCAGATGGTCGAGTTCCATCCGCTCGTTCAATCGTAGGTGCCGCTCACCCAAAACATGATCATGCATAGTATTGACATGCGCAAGCTTCTCTGGTCGGGATGCTCCTTTTCTCGATCGTTGGTCCCAGACATATATGCGCACTTTGGAGCAGATGGGAAAGGAACCGCGTTGCGGGCCGCGTCTAAATCAGTATATGCGTGACGCAGGATTCGAGCACATTCATTCGCATGCTGAAGTTCTGCCCATTGGACCTTGGAAAGAAGGTCTGTCGATTCGACCTTGTTTGTGGTATCGCTGTATGTTGCGGCTGGCTGCTGACACCTGCATAGGACGAGCAAGTCTAGGGAACGATTGTCTCGCAGTCATCAAAGATATGATTGGCTCTGTTTCCCTGTGGGGTCTCTTACAAGTCGCCGGAATGTCGAGCGATGAATACCGGGCCTTGATAGCCGGAGCGCAAGCCGAACTCTTAAAACGAGAGTTGAAGCTGTACTTCAACGTGTATGTCTACACGCATGCGCGGATTCTTGTTGTAGACCCATACTGATAAAGTGGCAGGTACGTCTCTTACGGGCAGAGGCCAGGATCGTCACGCCGTCGCTAGATTTTGCAACTCGTCGTAGGAAGCATCGGCCTCATGCACCTGTCGGCATCATACAGAAGCATAACAGGTGGCACAGGTCGAACGCTCTGGCATGGCCATGGCGACCTGCCTCGATGGCTACTCCAGAGGATGGCGGTCATTGCTTGGGCCTCTCCTTGGGAGCACTAAGGTAGAGTTGCGGCATTTCTTGGTCTTCACTGCCGCTCACACATTCACGTGCCGGATGGACGGGTGTGGTCTCGCCTCGAGCACTCGCGGAAAGCCCCATTTCTGCGCCGGGTGGAGAGGCATAGCCAGTCTTGAAGAGGAAGCTCATGGTTGTTGTGGGCTACTGCATCGTGCCGAAAAGTCGCACTCGCCGAATGCTGCAAATGGGCGACGTCCCGAGCAGCACCGCAGGAATCGCATGGCGACCACATGCAATGCAAGTGTGTCTTCGGGATGAACTGAGGTTGAAAGAAAGGAGGAAAAGAAGGTGCGAGAGGGCGACCCAGTGGATTGGTAACATGGTCTCACTCTTACCACGAACTCAAACGCCATCACATCGTCAAATTCAATCCGTCGAATTCAAAGCGCCGGTGCGCTCGCAAGGTACCCTGATACGAAACAGCGAATCATGACTCTGCTTCTGCTCTATCACACTGCGTGGAACTGAAGTTTTCAGAAGTCGAAGCTACGAGACATCGGGCTTTCCATAGAATTCGAGGTCAATCCGACCCGCGCTTGGGCCATAGGCCCTTTTGAACTCTATCGTATAGTCATTGGTATACACGTTGTCCAGGTTGTTAGCGGCCCCGCTTGCATTCCGCGTGAGCGTCAAAGCACGTGCCCGCTCTTACAACAATATGACCACAGCCGGCAACAATGAAAACCACCAATTTTGCAATTTTGGTGCTCCAGAAGTATCCTTGTGCTGCTCGATCGTGTCTTTCCCATTGCATTGCTCTGAGAGTCCACGCGTGCAGACGAGCGCCGGGTTATGAATATCAGCCGACCGAAAGATAAGAGGTGTTRCTGCATTGGCACCGGGGCGATCCCGACATTGGCGTTTTCCTTGCACGCGTTCCTGCGGTCTCTGTGGGCAGGTCAAGCGTCTCTACATTAGTAAATACCCTCTACCTGTTGAAGGCGAACCTGCCCAGTTGTGAATGCACGCTGCCTTCGCAACTCTCGAGGGAGCACTTTCGGTCGCGCCAAGAATGCGACCTACTCCAACCTACCGCTGGACGGTGACCAGATTTGGAGTTGGGAGCACGACTCATATCAGCTTTGCGTAAAATACACAGAGTGTGCAAGAAACATGAGTGAGGATTTCAACATTTGCCGTGTGAAATGGCCTGTTTGCGTCTCAGGTAGGGGAAGTGTTGCTGTGGATAACCATGTCTTGAGGAGAATGCTGAGTTTGACCGAGTGATTTTCGTCGAGGCTGTCCCGTTGCATGCTCCATCGGATAGCGATCGCAAACATTGTTGTTGTGACAAGCATGCGATGATGGGTGAYGACTTGCGAAAGCTGCTTTCCCTGCACTTCCTRCACGTCCGATTGCATGACGCACCAACGCGCCTCCGGCGCCAGTCCCACGTCCCCGTTGGTGAGAGACCACCAATGATTGGTCAATCTGCGATCTGGCTGTCCTCTATCGGTCATGACCGCGGAAGACGATACGGAGTCAGATCCTCTTGTGGTGGTCGTGTTCATGTCATCAGCTGCCAGTTCCTTGTAACTGCCTGCCGTGTGCATTGTTCTCATTGTCCCTTTGCATTGTACTTCTAGGATTCACATCGATATACCGCACGAGTCTTGTAATCATGGCCATCCATCCAGAACTCACGCCGGAGCAGCGCGTCGAAGCTTGGACAGTCTCCCAGGTTGCCGACGCCCTGAGCGGATCAACAATTTCCTCCGTCGAATCGCCTCGTCAATCTCGCACCGTGGCGCTTGATATTCCGCTCGACGACGAGGCCGTTCGCGACGAGTCTCCACGTAGGCGATCCGACGCTGTGCATACAGTGTACAAGCGACGCGAGCCCATCCGACGAGACAGCTTGAACAGGCGCGAGACGCTGCTGAAAGGGAAGGAGGGCAGCAGGCGCCGGCAAAGATGGGAGAATGATCGCCTTCTGAGCAATCCACATGCAACTCCGCCCTTGCCAAGCGACTGGCAGGTACAGCCCACTCACCCTGTACACCGGGTGCCGTACTTTCTGGCTCCTCTATGGGATGCTGGCTATGCTCGTCAGTCCACCGAACGCAAAATGCGTGCCGATGCGGCTAAGGTGCCCACGAAAGAGGAGGCCACTGCTGCCAAGGTCACCCAGCAACTCCGCCTCAAGCTCAAGCGGTCCAAGGGCGCAAAAGGGTTGCTGATGGATCTCGAGGAGGAGGTGCGTGGCTTCGTCAGTGCCTGGGAAGAAAAAGCGCGTCAACTCGAGAGCGAAGGTCTCATTGAGCCTGATAGCGAGGATGAGGAGATTGTGTTCGTTGGCCGCAACGGTGCAATGAGCGACGAGCGCAAGAAGGAGAGAGAGCAGGAGACGTTGGAAAAGGACAAGCTGATCTTTCAAGGCCTGTTGGACGACCATGGATCGGCGTTTGGCAGGTATCTTGTTCATTCAATCGCCGCCTACGTAAGTTCTGTTTCTCATCATTGTGGATCGAGTCTCTCTGACACCCTTTGCCAGTATGGGCTAAGAACATGGTCCACAACCAAAGGTCTTGAAAGACATGCCTACGTCGGACTCCCTTTAGATTCTACGACACGGAGGCCCAGTCTCACGGGTCGAGGTTTGCCACGTCCATTGTGGGCCGTGGTATGAGACATTTCAAGATCTTAGACGAAAGGTCCTGCGGCCCAGCGCGAGCGCCTTAGCTGGACCGATTTGCTTGCCTTGCAGGAGACAAGGGTGAAGTTTGCTCTCTGCTTTTCATTAATTGAATTGAATTGGAGTGGAAGCCACGAGACAAGCAAGGGCCAGTTTAGGCAGATGCCGTAGCCTTCCACTTTTACTTCTACCATCATGTCATTGTCATCACACTTCATTCTGTGAAACAACACCTTCTCAGATCAGAAGATTTCATCGACCGCACTGATCAACTACAGTTTCTATTCCTCCATCATAATACAACACAGACACAATGTGCCAAATCTGTCAAATCAAGGAGCTGGCCGCCGAGCAGCGCTGGCCAAAGGCAGTGGAAGCCTCCAAGGCCGATCTCAACTTCCTCGTCGACAATATCCACGATGAGTTCGTTCAACACCAKAGCGCGCATGGCAGTTCAATGGCCACTCCACTCCCAAAATCTCTCCTCGAACTGTGTCGCACGCTTTCCCACCAACTGGATGCTCTCGAGATTGAGCGCGAGAAGTGGTGGACTTCTCCAGAGTCACGCGCCAAACGCACTCGTTTCGAGCTGGAGGGAAGTCAGAAGAGTCTTTCCGAGTTGTAAGTATTATGCATATACAGGACATGCCTCGAGACGTTTCCTTGGCCCAAATGTGCACGACAAATGCTAACTTACTCACTTCACTGCCAGGCACAAGATCAACAACATGACGAGTGCAAGCTTCGAGTCGCTCTATGCAAGATTGGGACAGTTCGTGAAGTGGGGCCTGGGCATGAATGGAGGCATTCACGAGCTCCTCAATGCTGATAAGGTTGCATTTGGGACTTGAGTGGCTGACCTGAAGTGGAAACATACGATTCGAGGAAGAAACGAGACATTCAAATCTTGCTCAGATCGTCCATTGACACCCAGAACGCGAAATTTCCATCTCCTCCTGCAGAAACACAAGCACTTGGTCACTGCTGAGGGTTTCAGCGAAGGTCTCGGAGGTGTTGCCATCACTTCAAAGCTTATGCGCTTCTCCGCACATGGCTTCTTCATACTCCAAATCAGGCTGGAACTGCGAGACTGTCAGCGAGGTGTGACGTACGGTTGCAGAGCGAAGAACAGTACCTCCCAATACAGCGTTTCCGCATCACTACCATTCTCATACGTGTACTTCGCGGCCTCATCTGGCACGTAAGTCTTTGGCACCCCATTCGCAGCGGCTGCCTCGACCTTGAGCTGTACCTCGCAGCTTCTTTCCATTAGTGTGTACAGGTAAGCAGCCTCGTCAACAGTGGAGCCCACGGTAAGTATGCCATGGTTTCTCAAGATAAGACCTTTGCCATTTGGTCCAAGGGCGCTGGCTAACCTTTCACCTTCTTCTTCAGTGAAAACGATGCCACCAAATTCCTGTCACTTTAGTCAGGTGATTTCTCTGAGACTTGGAAAGATATGTTTACTTTGTATACTGCCTGAGCTTCTTTATAGAAGTAACAAACGTCTTGGTTGATCATCTCTAGAGGTCTCGCAAAGGTCGACCATGCCTTCCCGGCCGGACTGTGCGTATGACAAGCTGCGTCAACGTCTGGTCTAGCTTTATGCAAAGCTGAGTGGATCAAGAAGCCAGCAGCGTTGGCGGGTCTGCTGGTGTTGCCACCGACAGCTTCTCCTTGGTAGTTCACCAGGATCATGTCACTTGCTTTCAACAAGCCAAAGTGCTTCCCGAGCGGGTTGGTCCAAAAGAGGTGCTTGTTCTCTGGATCTCTCACTGAAATGTGCCCACTCATGCCCTCGGTGTAATTTTTCCGGGCAAACACTCGAAACGCAATGGCCATGTGCTCCAAGATCCACGTTCGGTGACTTTGGAAGGAAACGAAAGTGGGAATGCCAGGCAGGCAAGTTCCTTGCGAGATCATCTGCAATGGAGTTTTTCCCTTGTTCTCTGAGGAATTTTCCTTCGATCCAGTCTTCGCCATGATAGAAGTGGTCTCCGGCCCGGTGGCTTCAACGGCAGACGGTGCCATTTTGACGTGAACAGATTATATTTCTGGTCTTCAGGGAGGTGCAGATTTCAGTCTGATAATTTGTCGAGCGGAGTCTCTCTGTGGAGGACGGCGCAGATATGCTGACCTAGAATGTAGGTGGACTCGTGGCGGATTAAATACTTGAGTACACTTCTCGTCTTGCATGGTACGTCGGCGCTTGGCCGCGCTTCGACGACTGTCCGGATCCGGCCAGCGCCTTGGCCGCGTGCCCTGCCATCACTTTATGAGGATGGACCAGAAGTGACAGCATATGATCCAAACTGGCAGATGCCATCTGCAGTCATAATTGTACACATCAATCAGTCGTGTACTCACAGCACGCCAGAGTTAAACCTAACTTTTCAAGATACTGGTCGTAATCATGTCAATTGTAAGCACATCAGGACCACCCGTGTCGGGATATCGATGCTGATGGCTTGATAGAACGTCGTGGAGGCAAGCATCGCCGACCTACAGCAAGCTCTCACCAATGGCCTCACAACCAGCGTGGACCTGGTCGCCATCTACTTACAACGCATTTGCACGTACGACTGCAGAGGACCTTTCTTGAATTCCATTCCCATCCTGAACCCTCAAGTATTCGACGAGGCAATCGCTTCTGATGTCCGACGAGCCGCTGGCAAGCTTCGCGGTCCACTTGATGGGATCCCTTATACTCTCAAAGACTCGATGATGTACAAAGGCATGACATGTTCATCCGGGTCCCCAGCGTTCAAGGATCTAGTCGCCAACAGCGATAGCTTCGTTGCAGAGCAACTCCGAGGTGCTGGAGCTGTGTGTATGGGAAGGACCAACACACCACCGATGATGCAGTCTGGTATGCACAGAGGAGTCCATGGTCGGGCGGAGAGTCCTTATAATCTGGATTATCTTACCGCTGCCTTCTCCTCTGGATCTTCGAACGGCGCAGCAACATCCACAGCAGCCTCGTTCGCTGCATTCGGTCTTGGATCAGAGACTGTGTCGTCAGGCAGATCTCCAGCTTCCAACAACGGCCTTGTAGCATACACTCCATCCAGGACTATGATTTCACCTCGAGGAACGTAAGTGACTCCTTTCGAAAGCAGCACTAGACCATGCTAATGTGCGATCAGTTGGCCCCTCTACCCTACCTGCGATGTACTTGTGCCCCTCACGAGGACCATTGAAGACATGCTTGCGATTTTGGATCTGCTTACTACGGCCGACCCAGGAGGGAAGGACTTTTGGCTCGAGCAGAAATATGTCAATATTCCAGCTATACATAAGCCATCCTCTTTCCTGGATCTGACAAAGTCTGGCCGCGGTTCGCTAAAAGGCAAACGAATCGCTGTCCCGTCAATGTTCATTGGCGGCCAAGATGCAAACGCGAAACCTTTCTTTGTCTGCCAAGATGTCATTGATCTTTGGAAAAGAGCCAAGAGTGATCTGGAAGATGCTGGAGCAACTGTTGTCGAGACCGACTTTCCGCTGGTATCGAACTATGAAGACGATTCAGCAAGTGGTATACCAAACAATGTCGTGGGCATCGAGCCCGAATGGAACACAAAGGAGCGCGGTGAACTCGTAGCATACCTTTGGGACGACTTCCTGAAAGCCAATGGTGATCCTAACTATCCCAGCTTAGCAACTGTTGACGGAGCAAACATCTTTCCGCGGCCTAAAGGTTACATCCCCGAGAAGTACATTGAGGTCAAAAATATGATCAACTATCCCGGCCTCGTCGAGTCTGCTCGCAACCGCAATGGTAAAAGCGTCTGGGAACTCGAGGGTATGGCAGAGGCACTGCCGTCACTCGAGGCGCAACGAAAACGTGACTTGGAAGACTGGATGGACCAGAAAGGTATCGATCTTGTGGTATTCCCGGCGTGCGGCGACGTTGGCAAGGCTGATGTCGACACCAATGACGAGAGTGCTCAACATGCGCTGCAGAATGGCGTGAGATACTCGACGGGCAATCGAGCTATCCGCCACATGGGTGTGCCAACCTGCTCTGTGTCGATGGGTGTTATGAAGCACTCGAATATGCCTGTTAACCTTACCTTTGCTGGCAAACATGGTAGCGACGTTGACCTTCTGCAGTATGCGTACGACTTTGAGCAACGTACGAGAAGGAGGGTTCCACCGCCGGTTACTCCGGCTCTGGATCATGGCCACATCTCGATCAAGCGTGAATGCACTACTCCAGGTCAAGATCTCACCCTCGAGGTCCATTCTGCAAAGCGAGTCAGCGACAATGAAGTAAGACTGGAAGGCACGACGAACATTACCTCCTCGTTCGACGTCCAGATAGAAGCTCGCATTGACGGGCAGACTGTGCCAACGGGCCAGATAGAACATAAGGAAGGCCACTGGGTGCTCAAAGCTCAATTCGCGCCTTACGCGCCACCCAAGGCAACATACGGAGGATATGGAGAAGTCGTCGGCAACGTCGTCGTTGTTCTACTAGCACGAGGCGCGGGTCAAGTGGCTGGAAAGTTGGTCCTCATCAGCCAAGAAGACGATGTGAAAAGTTAAGTCATTTGAATGAAGAGATGCAATTTTCGAATGGAAAGTCTGTTGCCATAGCGGTCCATCTCCCCCGAACAAAAACACCAGCGCTAATGCATCGAGTCTATCTTCAATCCGTCCAGCGTGGTAATCATACCAATCGTACACCAGCCATGGCTAGTGATCACATCATTGCAAAGTCAACAAAAGTGGTTCTGAGTTCAACCGGAAAGAAACGAAGCTTCACTGGCCCAACAGATTCGACTTGCCAACCAAGCCAACGACAGGGTTGAAGTTCTGCCAGTCGCAGGCGCTGGRTATGGCAACCTTACCAGTGCCGGATGCAACGACGGCACCATTCCGCATGACAGCGATCTCCGGAGATACGCCTGTCTGAGAAACGTACTCTGGAAAAGGTACCATGTTCATCGCTGGTCCGCTGCCATCGGCCTTGAATGTCCAGTACTTGTTGTTGCCGACAGACATGGATATCGTTGAAGCTGAGGATACAAGAGCCCATGCAAAAACGGCATCGACCGGGTATGCATTGTTACGGATCTCGGTCGATGACCCGCCAGTGCAGATTGTCTCCTTGGGATGGACGCGGTACCAGTAGACGACTTGATCGTTGGTGATTGGCGGCGGGGTGCCGCTCTTCCACCAGGAGATGTAGTACTTGGCGACGATGCGCCAAGCACTGTGGTCCTGGCCGTAGACGTAGGCCCCCATGTCACCAAGCTCGACGTAGTCCTTGGCGTTGATGTCTTGGGACGGCAGGTCGCGAATGTAATGCGACTCGCAGAAATCATTCCACGTCAAAATCTCGATGATGTCGGGCTGAACCTCGTTATCGCTCGTGATCTGCTTGAAGCGGTTGGGAAACAGCATGTCACTGTATGCGACCCAAGCATTCATGGGGTTGCCGTCGTTGAGATCCTTGTACTGCCAGGGGGACATGGCTGTGACATTGTTAGCCACTTGTTCACTTGAGACACCCCTTGCCTCCACCTACCCATAATGTAAGGTCCAGTTCTGCCAGCATTCTTCAAGGCGGACTGGAACGCCAAATCCGGAGAGGTTGTTATGTTGGCCTCGACATCGAGTGGCCAAGCTTGCCAGTTGAAGTAGCCGTCAATCGAGGGGTACTCGCGGATGAGCTTGGAGGCTGCGGCTTTGGCATCGTGCTGCGCGGACATCGAGTAGGTGGTGAGAGCTGGGGCGAGTGTGATGGCGTTGTTCCAATACTTCATCTTATCCTTGAGTCCTTGGAAGAACCAGTCACCGTAGTACTCGTCGACCTGGTCACCACCGTAGGTTGACACGAGAATGTTGCTGTTCCAGCGGTAAGTGGATGGGCTCTTCGCATACTTGGTGATTGCCGCCTGCATGTATGTCTGGTTCCAGTAAGTGTTGCACTGGGTGTAGCTCATGTCGAAGGAATACATGAGCTTGAAGTTGAGCTTCTCCGCGGCGGTGTAGGCGTCCTCGATTCTATCGGCGACCCAGAGCTCGTGGGCTGTGCAGTCCGGAGGGATCCAGTTGAGGGCGAATCCGTCAATGCCAATGTCCTGAGCGGCGGCAATGTCCGCCTCCCACTGCTTCACGTCGTAAGCGTAGCTGTTCATCATCATAAAATGRGCAAAGACGGTTGCGGCTGAAGTCGTCTTGCATGCCAGCGCCAGCGCCGAAAGGATGAAGAGAGCGAGCATCTTGGTGAGATGTWGTGGCGGGGTGCGGCTGTGAAGTTGGGTTGTTTTGTTTGTTGATTTTTCAATGTTTTCTGGTTGGCACGTGCTTTGTGCTGCTGTGTCGTGTGCTGTCGTTGGAATTGAAGGCTGTCTCCAAGAACTTGCTAGGGAGCGTGGGTGTACTGGTGGTACTTGGGGGCTTTTTGAATGAGAGACTGGGGGGAATAAATGAGTGTGATGGCAACCTGGCCAGACCGATGAACCTCTCAGAGGTGTGTTGGCAGATTTGCTGCGGCGGCGTGCATGTGGGAGGTGAGGACGAGGGACGAAAAACGAAGGGTGTGAGGCTCCCTTGGGTGGCATAGATGAATGTAAGGCCCGAGCCAGAGGCGCTGAAGTGGGTCTCGTAGGCGCTGAGCGACAAGGATTGATCGGGAAGAGGTGGAGTGTTCCTGCATGTCGGCATGTTGTCAACCATCTCCGTGTTTATTGGAAACATCCCCCTGTCTACTGTAGGCGCCTCAAAACTCGGTAACAGACACTGGCTCTGTCTGCGCGCCTTTTCATTCGCAGCAAGACATGTCTGAACCTGGCCGACCATGCGGCACCCAAGCGAGCATCCACCTCCTAACCATGGTCGCCTGCAGCTGCGTCCGCGTGTTTTTTATGTAGGAAGCATCTATCAAGGGCGGGCACTCACGTGTGGTGGCCGAGGCGCATCATGATGCAAGGCATTCATTACTTTTTACCCTCAGAACCGGTTGTCCACGGTGAAGAGGAGCAGGGCTAGGCTATGACGGATCCACAGTCCGAGCAGGCCACAGGCGGTCTGCATCGCGAGTATCTCCACGGCCAGCCGGTCTTCGCGCAATGGGCCCCGCCATACCAGCCATAGGTTCAGAATGGTGAGGTTTGACGTTTCAACTACTTTCCCGCCCTCATCCACCTTGACCCGCACCAAATGCAGGGCATGCAACACCTTCAGCGCCTCGCCTACAATCGGTCGCAGCGGTTTGTCAGGAGTGAAGATCGCGACCGACGGTTCTAGAAGCCCAGTTCGAGCGTTGAATCGTGGCATTCTGTGCCGCGGACACGGTACAATAGCAAAAAGCTGTGGTGCCGAGTACACAAAGTTGAAGATCTGAGGAATGAACAGTAACAGCAATGTCTTGCTGAAGTGTCCAAGAATTCCCACAACAGCAAACACCATGCCCGCAAAGTAGCAGTACGTGTCTCCAACAAAGACTTTTGCCGGGTACCAATTGTGCTTTAGCAGTGCTAGTGAAACTCCAATGAACGGCAGCAGCAAGTACATGCTGAAGAGATGTGACTCGGCTGCTGGATGCGGCTGATGTACCGTTGGTAGSAAGTACAGCGCATCGTTCAACGCAATCAAGGATGCAATCACCAGAGACTGACCGACTTCGATTCCGTTCACACCTGCCAGGATGTTGATGCTGTTAGGGCAAAAGATCGATATTGCCGCCATGTAAGCGTAATACAACGCGCCCAGGTCAAGAAGCTCGCCAAAGTAGGGCCGCAGCGGTAGCGGTACCACCACATGGGTGATACCGAAATCGACAAAGTACAAGCCCAGCATTGGCAACGCCGCGAACGCTGGGATGAAAAACTTGTGTCGCCAGCGCATGTCGAAGGAGTCGTCTAAGATCCCAAGGATGATGACAGACGCCAAAGTTCCGTATGCGAAACCATAAGAAGCGAGCTGAACGAACGGTCAGCTGTGTCGCACCATGGATGCGGGCAGTCATCTTGCAAACCTTTTCCAAGGGGAAACGGTGGAGAAAGCGGCCCGTCTCGATATGTTGGGCCTCCAACACCATGTCCTTGTTCCCGGCGCCGGAAGTCACTTGGACAATGTCTCGCTTGAAGGCAAACGGCAAGAAGTTCACAACGGCCAGGAGGTACCCCAGAGCGCTCACCAGGCCCATCAGTTCCGGTCTCTCGACATGGTCAGCGACGGTCTGAGGGATGCAGGAAATGGTTGCCTCACAGCTCGATTTGGTTTCGTTTTAACAAGTCTTTTCCTTTGTAGCCCCGTTTGAGGAATACGTCGCCGGTCCATTGTATCACGGCGTATGAGAATGCAAACGCCAGGCCACTGATGGCGATTGAAGCATATAGTGGTTCTCCGTCATTTCGCCAGGAATTGACGAGAACTGACAAGCAGGCGATTGAGAGCACACCCAGAGAGTATGTCTCGGTGCTGCTCAGGTCCTGCATGTTGATGTTGCCCAGCCCGTGTAAGAAAGGAGAAGTGAAGATGTGTGAAAGGTAGCCAGAACAGAAAAGTGGGGCCGGAGTTCATTCTGCCGATGTAGGGCCGACATCTTCATCTGGCAAACAACTGCTTGGCCTTCCCTGTCTGTCTCACGTAGAGCTCACAACGTGGCCGGTGGAACACACAATCCAGTGCCACATTGCGAAATGCCCGCATGACGGACCGTCCACTGCATCAGGGGGAACAGGCTCGCGGATGACTCTTGACGCAAGGCACTGACTGCACGTACCCTCTGGATGAAAGATGGGCTCCAATGGCTTTCATCGATTCTCTCATGGCCATCAGGATTTGCTACTCGCCGTGAGCTACAACTTCTATGGCACGCGCATGGCGACCGCTTCGGCGGATCACAAAGTCAAGGTCTGGGACCGCAACGACAAGACTGGCCAGTGGATCGTGATTGACGTGTGGACGGCTCATGATGCAGAGGTCACGGACGTCGCTTGGAATGGGCCGTTTGTGGGAGAGCACCTAGCTACGGTTGGAGAGGATGGGTTTCTGAGGGTGTGGCAAGAAGATGTGAATGAAGGCCACAACTCCGGGCGTAGGTTCAGAAAGATCTTTGAGCAAAGGACCGCCACTGGAGTTCCTTATGTGTGCCTCGATTTGAAGAACATTGGCACCGAGACTTATCTCGCGGCCATTACCCGTGATGGCTATTTGACCGTGTACGAACCAGAAGACCATGATGATCTCTCGGCGTGGCGCATCTTGTGGGCTGATTATCTTGTCAAGACACCTTCCCGAACGGAGGAGACGGCGTTCAGGCTCAGCTGGCACAAGGAGAAGATTCCCGCCTGGCCGGCGGTTATTGCTGGTCTTGATCGGAAAAGTCTCAGCCTCGCCGTTGCTGTCGGCACCTCGGTGAAGGTCTTTCGAACAGACAAGGATCGCAAATTCTACACAGCCGCCACGCTCGAAGGAGCAAAGGAGCTCGTGCGGGACGTCGACTGGGCGAATGGGAGCATGCGGGGATTTGACGCAATTGCTACTGCCAGCAAAGATGGATATGTGCGTATCTACGAGCTTCATACCGCGCCACACCCGCCATCACACCGCGACTCAACCTCCGATGATGTTTCATCTTCGGCTCCGTCTCCGATGGCAAAGCCGCAAAGATCCGGCATAGGAGCTGGATTAGCAGGTGGACTGCGTGGGAGCCGTGACGAGAATGCCGGCGCACCGGGAGCTGTAAAGCAGGAAACTAAGCTTGTTGCGGAGTTGGATGCACAAAGCCAGACGCCATGGCGTGTGGCTTGGGCGCCCATGGCTGACATGCTCCTCTCCACCGGTGACGACGGCACTTCGCGGATATGGAAGAAGTCGGTCGATGGGAAATGGCTGCAAGCTGCGGAGATTGACGCCATAGGTGGCGCGCCTTGAGCGAGGAAGTGCGAAGTATGCTCACTTCGACACTACTTCAATCATTCAGCCGGGAGTCCATACGCTCCTGATCTTGTGCGGGTGTCACCGCTCGCTACCGTGGAATTCGTGCTCATTCACGCAGGCTATTTCGTGGAATCTGTCCCGCATTCTATTCATGCAGGTCCGGTCTCCAATATCGCGGCACGTTATGACCAGTATCACAGCATGAGACAGCTTGATGACCGCCGCGGAGCTGAAATGACCTGTGGAACGCGATCTAGCTAATATGAGTATATGCGTCTACGAATGATACGAGGCCAAGAAGCTATCAGGACAAGGCCTCAATTTCTCTGTTGGTACAAAATTATATAGCACAGCAGCAGAATTACATGTTGGTACATTCAACCGGCACAGCAGCAGGTCGTACGCACGCCTTCATCATGCAAACAATGCCCAAACCCCCAAACGTACCGCATGTATAAAACAAGATGTTGCTCAACCACAAGAATGCCGTTTATATGCCCGAAGCGCCTGCCCACCGCGTCTAAGTGATCTTCTGATCAAAGTTCCGTGCTCCTCGATGTCATTGGGCCCGCTGGGCTGAGCTCCCTCTACTCAAGTGCCTTCTGGAACTTGAGGCGGAGACTGTTGTTGACGACTCCACCAAATCCAAAAGCAGGCACAATTCTGCACATTCTTGCTGCAGTGCTCTTCAGCCAATCGAGCCGTACTTTAGCGAGACGATCGCGGATGGAAGTGTCACCATTGCGATTGTAGAGGTCCAGGCCATACAGGTGGAAGGGTGTGCTGATGAATTGGATTGCAGCTGGAGCCATAAACTGCGCTGCAGAGGTACGAGATATATACCTCTCGGCGGTCTCAGAGAGAGTAAGTCGTGCTGCGATTAGGGGAGGAAGATTGAACGATGCGAATATGGTCATGCTGTCACGAATGGCAAAGAGAGCATATGTAACGGGAGGAATGGGCCTCGCTGACACTGTTCCGAACATCTTGGTGAATTGTGAGTCCTTGACCATCGTGAGGCTGAGATTCGCTGCGCTGGTAGCGGCAAATTTAGCAGGGCCCGCGGTTGTCGTGCTAGCGGTCTTGTTGCGCGTTGTCGATTTGAAGGTGTCGAGGAAGTTTGCAGACAGATATGTTCCTCCATAAACCATCAAAATCAAGCCAAAGGTCTTCGACGTGAGATATAGGTGAGGCCGGCAAATGAGCTGCGTGAATGAGGCCTTTGCAGAAGCAGCCATCGCGCGTTTGCCTGAAGCGTTCTCCATGATAGCTCTGCGATTCTCAATCAGTCTCGCTGGTACTCCGAATGCTCACCTCTCCAACTCACTTATCAACCATACTGACGATGGGAGCTACGAGAAATCCCGCAGAAGCAGCGCAAGCTGCATCAACTGCGAGCCGCTGGCCCAAATGCTCTGTATTCCATTTACCCTCCTTCCCGCCCTCCATTCCTTCTGCCAGCTGATACCTTGCTGCGGTCTTGAATTTTTGATTCGACAGTCCCCCAACTATTCTATTTTATGCTGCGCAACAATGGGATGCTGATCTCCGAGACCGGCAACCGTATTCGTTGGACCCCAAGTATCTCGGCGTCTGCAACATGGACTGCAGTCGTTGTTGGCCTCCTGTTGGTGAGGGAGGCTCTGAGATGTGTTTCTGGCGCAACGCGTAGAGGGTCGGAGAACAAGTGATCAAAGGCCGAGGTGCGGTATTTACCCTCTCGATAAAGGTGATGACGGGATGTGCAAAGCCAGGTCGACGCGAGCTCCAAAGCTTTCTTTTTTGCCCTGGATGACTGTGACTGCGATGCCGGGACGGAGGTGAGTCCGCCAACATCGGGCAATATCTCAGTCATCCGCGCGCAACTCTTCTGTCAAGGTCCTGCTGATATCCTTGTCAGCGGTGGACATGCATCAAGTCTGTCTGCGTCTCGGACGCACTCTGCATGCAGCATAAGTTATAACTGCCCAACGACATACGGAGCATTACTCTGTTGGGGTATGGCATGGATAATGCCCACATGGCGTGAAACTTGACGCGATCCACAGCAGCACCAGTCCCGGCGGTACTCGACCTCACCACAACTTGCTGGACATCCCAGTGGATCTATGATTGTCGACTCGAGAGCTTCCCATCTTCTCGTACGCATCGGTCATTGTCGAACATATGGCTGCCACTTCAGCTGCGTAGTCTCGCTCGACCCAGTCGGAGACTCAATTGAAAGGCGGTAACTTCGCAGAGGCAAAAAATATCAATGGGCCTGTGAAACGCGCAACGTCTSCCAGAAGAGTACATTTGGTGAGTACCTGGAGAGGGCGGCTCTTGCTCGCATGTCTACTGCGTTGATTGAGGGCCGAGGTTCCCTCGACTTCATTCACTACCCGGTTTGCTCACTTGTCAAGTTGAAATGGCCGCTTTCTTTTCGTCACTTCAACACTCAACATCACCATGGCGGACACACTCGGCTATTCGCGTAACGACAAGTATCGAAAAGATTATCTCGAAGCTCTAGAACCATGGAAGAAGAGTCGCGAGGAGTGTGTCGAAGTTGCAAAATACCGCTCGACCATGCCTTGTGACTTGCGTTTTCCAATTACCAACCCGATTGAACAGATATAACTTGACAGATCCCACTCTACCACGCTACTTTCAAATCAAGAACCGCATTCTGATCGTATTGGCTGAGCCCGACTGGGCTGTTGCCGAGAGGTACCGACTCGAATGCGAGCGCATCTATGCAGAAGCATTGTATCTTACAAAGCAAAGCGAGCTCGCGGAATTGCAGGTGCTGTCGACCTTTCGTATCGAGCTGGACAAGTTGAAAGATACCCATGGAGAGGATCCTCGGCTGGGTGCGGATATCACTGGGGAGTTGACAAGATTGGAGATTGGAGAGGAGAACGCTGCAGGAGCGAATATGGTGGGAGAGGAGGAGACCGAAAGCGAAGCTGTTGAACATGAAATGGTTGCCGAGAATGTCAACCCGAGTGATGGGTCTACCAACGAGCCACTGCAAGGTGGGAAACTCGTAGGATGTTGATACAGACAAAAGCAGGTCGTAAAGATATACAATGGTTGTCTCATAACATGACAAAATGCCGCGTGTGTTTGATTCTTTCTCATATCGTATCGGCCGATGATAACAAGAGGAATGACTATTTCACACTCCGAGATGTGAATGATTTTCATTGAAACGCGGTGACCCGATTTCCCGAAGCGTCAGTGATGATGTGCGGAGCAATACTAACGTATCTATTTCCACATGGAGGAGTATGTTTATTTAGCGCGGCGCGTCTTTCGGAGGGTGAAGCTTGGGGGTTCGTCATCATCCTTTGACGTACCGCGTGTACAGTACTTACTGGTTGCGACGGCATCTCAGGACCGTCCGGCGGGAGAAGATGTATCACACCGACTCACGCACAACAGCCTAGCCATCCCATCCTCCTCTATACCAGCCCGCCTCACTTCTCGCCGACAAAGATATCCGCGAACTCCCAGGCGTCAGCGCCGACATCAGCCTCCGCGCCGACCGATCCCATGGCCGCCGACGAGTATCAATCCACAGCGCGTGCGCTGGCTTCGCGACCTGACGACGACGATGACTACATATCGCCCAGCAATCGACCGCGTTCATCCTCACCCTTGTGGTCACGACGGACTGGTAGCCACGCACGCTCGATCCCGATCCCAAATACTTGGCTGCGAAGGGCTGAACAACTACAACGCAAAGGCATGCGCTTCTGGACACAGCTGACACCACTCCAAAAGGCCGGTCTGATCATCGCCAACGTGCTGCTTTTCACTCTGGGAATCTTGTTCATCTCATTCAGCKGGCGGATCTTCCATCTGCTAGGCCCATACGCAAAGAAATGGAGAGAACTACCAGCAGGCTGGTTGATCCTCTGGTTCATGACCTTCTTTGTGTCATTTCCGCCGATGATAGGATATAGCACTTGCGTCACGATTGCTGGCTTCGTGTTTGGCATGAAGGGTTGGTTCATCGTGGCATCCGCTACGGTGCTGGGCTCTACGGTCTCCTTCCTCACCTCACGGACCTTGTTGAAGAGCTTCGTGTCTAGGTTGGCGGAGAAGGATCAAAGCTTTGCAGCACTCTCCCTGGTGTTGAAACACGATGGCCTGAAACTGCTGTGCATGATACGATTGTGTCCGTTGCCGTATAGCTTTGCGAATGGAGCCATCAGCACGATCCCGTCAGTAACATGGCAGAACTTTGCGCTTGCGACTGCACTGGTTTCTCCGAAGCTGCTACTACACATCTTCGTGGGAGGCCGGCTGGGTGACATTGCAGAGAATGGGGATAAGATGGATGCGAAGACCAAGGCCGTGAGTTATATCAGCATAGCCGTGGGAATGGTTGTTGGTGCTGGAACGGGTTATATCATCTACACCAGGACAAAAGCCAGAGCAAAGGTGCTCGAAGCGGAAGAGCTTGCTGCTGCAGGCGGGCGGCCCGTTGACCATGGCGGGGAGTACGATGATGACCTGGACGATGAGGCTGCTGTCGGCTTTCGCCGCAGAGATGACGATATCTCATTACACCAAACTTATGAGGATGATCTGGGAGGCGACTCCGTCTATCGTGATCAGTTCACAGATGATGAGGATGMCGAAATACGAGACGTCTTTGATATAGGGGACGGTGACGAAGATGATGAAACTTTCAAGAAAGGGAATAGATAGATAGACGATAGATCGATGTTTGTGCTGCGATGTCTATTCATAAGGTCACGATAACAATGTCTCGAGTAGAGCTGCCACGCCCATATGATCGAAATCCGCTATATCGTATGCATGAGCGACATGTACAGCGTGTTACATGTATCGACATAAACTCAACATGATGAACTCCTCCGCAAGCATTCGAGCAAATCTCATCAGAACTCCTCTCAGCAATGGGTATCTTTCGCCTTCGCCAACAATATCAATACCAAAAAAGCAAAAGACAAATGCTCAATCATGCCGATGACATCGGCGTATCCGAGTCGGTATCTATAGCAGACCGAGCGTAGATCGCCACTTTGGCCTCTTTGAACAGATCCGTAGAGTCAACAGCATCAGTATCGTAGCCAGCCGTGACGAGCAATCGGTGGAGAGTGGCAGTAAGAGCCTCTATATCATCATCTTCCATTTCGTCGAAAGCGGACACACGACTGTCGAGCAGCTCTTCGTAGCCGAGCAAAGACGTCTCCTGGTCCATCCTGCCAGCAAGCTCTCGAAGATTTTCAACGTCTGTTGATACGTTGAGTATTACCTCATGCATGGCTTGATCAGGTGGTATCCGCTCAAGTGGAAGTCGGGAAGATTTGGTGCGACTGGTTCCCTTCGAGCTACGTCGTCGCGATGATACTCGCTTGGCGGCTTCGGGTTGATACTCGGCTTCGTCCTCGGGTTCTATCGTTTCAGGGGGAGTGTTCGTGCTGAGCTCTCGCAAAGGAGCCCTGTCTGCAGTCTTTCGCCGTTTGCACATACGTGATGATTGCTTTTCGACATGCGAGGTGGTTGCTTCTAGATCGACGAGTTTGCTGGCTGGTACAAAGCCTGGGTGTTGTCGTACTGGTTCCATGCTCGCCACCGGAACAACCGACTCGTCGTCGTCATGGGATGGCTCACGTTGCAAAGGCGTCTGGCCGAAATTGCGTCGTTCAATCATAGATGATATTGAAGAGCTGGCGTTGGGTCCAACAAAGTCACGAATGTCTCGATTGCGCCTGGGGGGCGTGAGAGGTCGAATGTCTTCCAAAGAATCGTCAAGCTCGCCCTGTGCCACCAACTCATCGGTGTTGCCTCGGCGAGCTCGTTGGCTTCTGGTTTTCCGAACGTCTCCCGGGTTGTCGAACCAGACTCGTTCCCTCTCAGAGTTGTTCTTTGAAGGTGGCACAAATGGCTTATTGATGCGGGACGCTGCTGCTCCGCGTGGTCGAGTGATGGCGTCAGGTATGTCGCTCAGCCGTGTCCCCGCGGAGCCTTCTGCGGCGTCACGACCGAGAGTGTACGGGTACACGCGCGCGGCTGCTATAGTCATTGCGCCGTCTCCAAAGCCGTGATGTTCATTCGAAGGCACAGGTGTATAATTCTGGGGGAAAGCAAGCTCAGGAGTTGCAGTCAGCCTGGTACTTCTTGCGGCTCGGAAATCAAGCGTGCCGTCCGGGGGATTGGAAGTGTCCAGAGATGGCGATGGGGACGAAGGTCTGGGGGTAGGCAATCCAGCACCATGCCGAGGCCTCGTTGGCGAGCTTTCTCGGGTTGCAGCCACCGCCAAACGAGCGTTTCGATTCAGTGATACAGAATTATGGCCATCGTCTAACAAAGGCGTTCTCGTAGATGTGTTCATCTTTGCAAGCACCCACGGATTCGACAGTGTAACATCCTTCCTCGATTGTCGAAGCTCTGCAAGATCTGCCTCCGTGATCCCGGTTGATGGTCGATCATCATATTGTTTCAAGTCGTCTTCGTCAAATCCGTACATGTTAGACCTGGCCGGCGGTCCACGTGCATGTGCTGGCGTTGGAGATATTTGAGGGCTCTGCTGTACATCCAGTCTCCGAATCCAGTCCTCTGCAGCATCTTTGTGCGTGTCTTCGTGACTTGGTCCACCTTGGACCGCAGCTGTTGGCATTTCGTCCTCCAGTGATGTGAATGGCTCACCGCCCTCTTCCTCCGCAACAGGGTGGCCGATTGGGATAAATTCAGACTCTTCAGCGACAGCGGCTTCTGGCGCCACTGGCTGGTACACTGCAGCGAAGAATTGCCTCACTATTTGCAACACGATATCAGCGTTCTCGAACAAGACATCGTCCTTAGCAGGCTCCAGGTTTGCGTCGTACGATCCTCCGCTGATCTCTAGAAAGATGAAAGGGTCTTTTACGCTGTCAAACTTGCTGTCTATAGACTTGAGCGACTCGCGGTAGACTTTTGTGATTTGTTTGAGAAGCCCTCGGGCCGATGAGACGGGGCGAGCATCGATTGAGAGGAATGAGCCAATGTTTGAGATCTTGCTGACGTCGGCATCGGGGCGAGGCAGAAAGGCTTGCAGTGTGAGGCCTTGATCTTCGACGACAGACCAAAGACAGGCGGAAGCACATGCTGCACCGACAATCTTGAAAGCAGCATCTTCGGCGTTTCCACCAGGTTTTGGTGGATAGACCCAGTCATTCTCTTTATTCTTGGCTTTGATAACTTGCAAGGACAACCGAACATGCGGGCGAGCGAAAGCATAGGCTTGCAAAAGTCTTTTGATCTTCTTTAGACAAGAATCGACATTCTTGAGTGTAACCTGTCTGCGTACTGGGTTGGATTTGATGAAATCGGTGATTTTGACCGTCGTGCCARCAGGTAAGGATGCCCGCTCTTCGCCGACGACTTCTCCTTGCTGGCTGATTTTCAGCAATGTTGCAACTTGCTCGCCTTCGATGCGGGTGCTGATCATCAACGAGCCACTCAGCTCGGCGGCACTCGCAAGTGCTTCGCCGCGAAAGCCGAGTGATGAACCTCCAATGTCTTTGAGGTCTCCATCGTCGCAGATCTTGCTCGTGCAGTATCTTCGTGCCACTAGTTTCCGGTCGCGAGGCGCAATACCATGCCCATTGTCCCGAACTTGGATCACGTCGAGGGTGTTGTTCGAAATGCTGATGGCCACGCTATTGGCATTGGCGTCAAGTGCATTGTCAAGAAGCTCCTTGACCAGAGATGCGGGATCTGTCAAGGCTTGCGTCGCACCCAGTGCCCGCACTGTTGATTGCGGCAACGCCTGGATCGACATCCTTTCATCTTGATGAGTCGGACGGATGAAGTGGTAAAGTGAAGTGAGGGTGATGTTTAGGTTGGACGCGTCGTGAGGGAAGGCGCGATCAACTCAAAACGTCATTTCCAATCCATGCAGTCAGTCACTTCAAATCGTCCTTCCGTCCCGCCACCCTCGACGACATCAAACACTTTATAACATCTCGCACCATGGCTCTTGCACCAAAGTTTGCCGGGCAGAAGCTCGTGGTCGGAGCCCGGCCAGAGACTCTTCACACGCTCGAGCTCTTCCTCGATTTCGTATGCCCCTTCTCAAAGAAGATGTTCAATACGGTTTACCAGGACGTGCGTCCTTTCGTAGAGTCCAAGTACCCAGGCAAAGTGCAATTCATTTTCAGACAGCAGATTCAGGCAGGTCTTTTATCAGCGAAACAGTCGAATTTAAATGTCTAACAGCTGAATCTCACCAGCCATGGCACCCGTCGTCTACTTTAGTTCACGAAGCTGGAGTTGCGGTGTTGCAAACAAGCCCGGACAAGTTCTGGCCATTCAGCAAAGCTCTCTTCGACAAGCAGACCGAGTACTTTGATGCGAATGTTGTCAACGAGCCACGCAACAAGACCTATGAGCGGCTTTCCAAGCTTGCTGGCGGTGTTGGCATTGACGAGAAGAAGATATACAACTTGCTCGAAATATCGGACAAGCCAGACAAGGATGGCGGTCTGAATRGCGGGAACAAGGTCACGAATGATATCAAGCTGCTAGTCAAGGCCAATCGCCTTCAGGGTGTCCACGTAACGCCGACTGTGCTTTTCAATGTGAGTCTCATTCAGCTTTGACCCTTCGACTTGCTGACTTGTCTCCCAGGGTATTGTCGAGAWCGGAATCGCCAGCAGCTTCAGCATTTCGGATTGGGAGCAGTGGTTGGAAAAGAATATTGTGTGAGCAGAGTCCCATTTGTACTTCCGTAACCATCTGACATGACACTGCACCGAAACTACTCGACCGAGCAAATCAGATACTCGTTTGTGACATTGCATGCCGGATCATCAAGCAGAGCCTCCTTTAAGGTCACCCTGCGGCTTGTGTGACCTGTAGCATTCTCAGCTTCGTTTTCATCTTCGTTCGATTCAATGTCCTTGGAGTCGTCGAGACATGCTTCTTCAAGAAGATTTTCAAAGGGCAAAGACCGTCTCACGCCCAGCTTCTCACCACCCTCTTTCTTGCCCAAACCTTCCCTGTCGGGATCAACTACCCATGCCCACTCGCACTTCACTGGATCGTCAACGAAGTCGAAGTCGGGATCATTGGCACTGTTTCTCTGTTGTTCCGAGGCGATCATATCCAATATACCCGTGCCTGTGTCGCGGGAAACTCCGGCGTGAGACTTGTAATAAAACATCAAGAAGTCGGTCACTTATCCCCATTATTTTTAAGCTCAAGTACAATGATGTGCTTCAGGCCTTTCTTGTGACGCTCGACGTTGACAGGCCGTATAAGGAAATTGTGAATGATGGTACCCTGGCCATTTGGGAAGCCGTTCCAGTGGCACTGAGCGGTGTCAAAGCGGTCTTGGTGGTATATGCAGGTGAGATGGCGGGTACCCTATTACATGTCAGTTCTGTATGAACGGGAAATGATCCAGGTGAACACTTGTCACGGCGAAGGAAGTGCTTTGGTGAATGTGTGTTGGTGATCGATTCGATAATCGGTAKAACTGAGATCGAAAGCGAATTATCGATGCAGGACATAAAGTGAGCCCAGCATTACCTTGTGTCATCTTGCAGAAGTGGGAGTAAAAAGCATATACCAGGCCGTGCGGATACTACCAGGTCGATTGTGTTACTATCAACCGTGTTGTGGATATTCTGGCCAACCATAGAACAATGTACCTGCCGAATGCATTCTTCAAACATGCGCCTGTTAGAGTGATACTGAGTCTACAGTGGGTTCCAAAAAGTTGAAGTTCTGCCTGTGATAGCGACCGAACAAAAGTCAGTTGCGGCTATAGTGCTGGGTCAAAGTTGTTCACCATATCATTTTGCGTACACATGATGCCACACCCTTATAACAGCGCGTTCCAATAATGGATAGCACCGTTCGTGTGCCATGCCGGCTTCGCCGGCTCGCTGCAGCGGGCATAGATGCAAATATTCGCCCAAAAGGGGTAGCCTTCTCCTACGAAGGAGAGGCAAAAGAACAAGGCGTGATATGAGTGTATCTTGTACACATGACTTTGTATAGGAATAGCCGAAGGTGGGGCTCGAACCCACGACCTTGAGGTGATCTGTATACGCAATGGACTTGCGGAATAAGAGCCACACGCTCTACCGATTGAGCTACCCCGGCAGGGGCTTTTTAGATGGAGGCAGGGGGTCCAAGACTGTATATAATCGTCATTGTAGAAGTGCAGAGATTTCTAGCCATTTTGCGGGGTCTGGCGGCGCTTCGCGGTGCAGAGAGACCGAGATTTCCATGAAAGTGTGAAAGTCAATTTGCCAAGATCTCTTTCAGGTTAGCGCGGTCTGAGTGAGTCCAACACCAACACCACGACTCCAGAGACCAGTCCAGCTCCAGCTCTACATGTATACTCGTGTCACATCATTGACCCAGGCTTTTACGACATCCTGTGTGATGCATCTCATGAAAGTATGAGGATTCATCCAAATTTGCTGGTGCCGCCCAAGTCCGGACATCCAATTCTGATCAGGCAGAACAAGTCTCGCCRCACTGACTGCTCTAATGAACATGTATTGCACGATTGTAGCCCCCATCGCAAGTATAGCGAGGCGTCGCCTCGGAGTAGAAGCTGCGGACCCCAAGTCAGCAGGGGCCAGGATACCCAATCTCGATCTCACAACTCATTGCCGTATTGAGGATTTGCGAGTTTCCACTATTGTCTACGGTAAAGCGAAGTTATAAGGTGCTTGGGGCTTTTATGCCGATGCAACATCACGCTGTTGGTATCGAGATGCGTGGTCGGGATATAGGGTGTACAACAACGTGCGTCTAACTCTTGAGAAAAACTAGGGTTAGGGTTGGGGTATGGGGCATTCTATGTCTGGACGATGGCGAAGGGTTTGAACATAGTAACTGTGTTACGTACTCCCATCTGCTTTGTATGTTAATATGCTGTTGCTAATGACTGGCCGTCTAGACAGCACAACGAGTGTTTGTGTCTGTCAACAAGGAACACGAACCTCTTTCCGTACCATCCATCGATGTGTACTACACGCTTACCTTCGACAGCGAGGCTCTAATCGAGTGGCGAATTTTCGATCCCATCGGCACTTGCAATTGACATTGTGAAGTCATTTCTGAGATTCGTAATAGAGGTGGATCATCCTCATGACTACATCTATGGCCGGGAGTTCCGACACACGATGCAGACTTCAATGTTGGCCAGCACACGATTCCAAGCAAACATTCGCAAGGCACAATTAGCATGGAAAGCACCATGGGAAACCAACGCTGCCCAGCAAAACGACAATCAAAGATGAGAAAGAGCGAATGTACGCAGAGCGTTTTGTCATAATTGTACTCTATCACAACATCCCCTGCCACGCACTGTCCAGCGCGCACAAAGACTTTGGTAAATGCATTTCCCCCATACGACGAGACTCCCAGAACGCCATGTTCCTTTCAAAACCTACAGTACAACGAACAACTCATGTCGCCYCAGCTTGTCATCCTCGACAGCCGGGTAATAAGGCACCATCGCGTCCGCACTCTGCACATAGGCATCGTTGTACAATCTCCAATAAGGCGTCCGCACTCGCCTCGCAGGGTGGAATAAGCCCGCCCAGACATAGTTCATCACAGCACCAGTGCCCACTGCCAACCGAATCGCATCGATAGCTTCGATGATGCGGTCGATGACGTGAGGACTGGTCTCGAAGATGTTTGGGTAGAGTAAGTTTAGGAGGTGCAGCATTGCGTCTTCACAACCCAGACCAACGACACCAAGCGCAATGTGCTTGACGACGCTGGCAGCGGTTTGTCGATGTACCTGGTCGCGATCGATGAGGGCATCTTCCAAGAGAGGAGTGACGGCATAGACGTAGTCTTTGGCCATCTCGCCAATGTACTCGAAGAGGAAGGAGAGAGATTTCAACACACCGTTCTGGACGTTGAGCTCTGGCACCCGGTACTCGTTCATCAGCGCCGGCAGCACAGTGAACGGCGCACAGGTTTCAGCAACAATGCCAATAGCGACGGCGGTACAGACTCGAGACTGACGCTCTTGTACTCGTAGGTTGTTGAGTAGGGTGGCGAGAACATCCTGCGGTCCAATGGCTTTGGCGATGAAACCAAAAGTGTTGTTGGCCGCTCGCCGGATTCCCTTCTTGTGTGCCTTGAGCATGTCGAGCAGCTCGAAACAGATCCTCATCCATTCTCTGGCATTAACAGATTCTGGACCACGATCTGCAATACGCCCGACAAGATCAATGGTGTTCTCTTGTACCTTCTCATGCCTGTTCCGCAAAATGGGTGTCAGGCGTGGAAGGAGATCCTTGATTGGAGGTTGCATCATGCTGATTCCCACAACAGATACGATGCTTCTCATAGCGCCGAGGATACTACCGAGCACTTCGGGATACTCCTCACCAAGATACTCGTAGAGAACAGATCCCAACTTCCCTAAAAGGCCATCTTCATCGCACTGCTTCAGCACAATGGCTATTCTAGTAATCAAGTCGGCTGCTTGCTGTCGTACAGTGGCGGACTTGTTGTTCAGCCGCCAGAGGATGGTACTGACGATCTGAGGAAGGTAGGGCTTGCATCGCGTGCCCAACGCGTTGACGACAGTGCCGAATCCGTTGAGCAGGACAATGTCTTCGACGCTCTGTTCCTGAAACGAGTGAAGGATACCATCCACCAAACGCTCCTCAAGACGCTCGTTGATGTCTGCCGCGCCCATTGCCGAGATGACCTTTTCGATCGTCTCGACAGTCATCTTTCGATATGCCTCGCTTTCGTCTTTGAGGTTGCCGACGATGCGTTCCACAATTTCGCCAACCCCGACTTTTTGACCGATGTCAACCGTGGTCTCAACAACCTGTCTGTAATTCCGCTTATCCAAAGCCATTCTCCGGACCCAGAAACTCTTGAAAAAGTCGTCGAGAACAGTCTCCTTCAAATAAGCAGCGGTGACACCATTGCCACCAGCGCACTGGCTGATGACTTTCAAAACGACTTTCTTCATTTCCTCATCCGGACTCTGGAACTCTCGGAGGAGGATTTCCATAATTTGGGAAGTGTAGTAGTTGCCGTATTCTTCGTCCATGAGAGGGATGATGTAACCGACAGCCTTAAGGAAACCGGCGAGACCTTTTCCGCGCTGCTTACGAGCACCGGTCCATAGCGGGTTAAGGATGTCGTCAAAGCTCTCGATACCGAATGGGTTGGAAGCCTCGGCGAGCGCAGCAAGGGCCAGCGATGTGACTGTCCTGACCTTGGCCTGCTCGTCGTTGAGGTTCTCGCCGATACACTCCACAAGTCCCTTGAGATGAGGAAGAACGGCACAACCCATGAGGATGGGAATCTGCTGCACGATCTTGACACCAGTGTGTCGAGCCTGCCATGACTTCTTACTCTTGCAGACTGCCTTCAAGAAAGGAAGAAGGGTAGGAATACCAAGCGCGGAAGCCACAACAGCAAAGGCTCGTGCTGTGGTGTTGCGGACATACTCGTCAACGTGGTCAATGTCAGGTCTCATCGTTCCAATCATATGAGCAAGACCAGCAGCTTTGGCGAGGTTGGAGATGATCTCACGTCCTTCAACTCGAGCGTAGTAGTCTTGATCAATGAGCAATGGCTCAATGACGACAAGAATCTTGTGCACATAGGGTCTCACCAGGTCGTCGAGCTTGTAGAGAACACGATCAATGACCTTGACAAGCAAGTGGCGCTCCTGATCCTCGAGACTCTTCTCCATCAACAATGGTAAGATCTGGTCGAAAAGTGGGCCTGCACCAAAAGCACGCGCGTTGTCCGTGAGTTGACGAAGAGCAGTCTTCCTCATAGGCGGAGTGCCGTTCTTCACTTTGAGCAACAACCGCATGATTTTGCGCTGCTTGAGTTCTTCCACACTAAGGTCGTTCTCATCGGCGCCATCAACGAGTTTACCGAAGTAGGCCATGTCCTCGGCCTTGAAAAATTGGAGATCTCCAACACCCGGAATTTCTGAAGGAAGCTGCTTGCCCATTGATCGTGGATCAACTGACTCCTGATTCATGAAGCCACCGGTGTGCGCTGGAGTAGCAGACGGTGCGAGACGCTTGGAAGGAGCTCGTAGAGGTTCGTAACCTGGGGGTGGAATGAGGATCTTGTAGCCTTCACTGGGCAACATTTCGTCCAGCTCCTCGTCCGAGATTGCCGCATTTCGACCAGATGGGTCAGTTCCGAAAGCAGGCGCTACAGGAGTAGCGTCTGGCGCCGCAGATGTCGCGCCTCCGCTCGAGACAAGATCCCATCTTGATCGCTTCTTGGCAGCTCCACTGTCGCTCTCTGGCGCAGGCGTAGAATCCCATCGCGACCTCTTTGCATCTTCCGCACCATTGGCAGCATGGCCATTGATGCCGTTCGTAGATGTATCGTCGTTTGCGCCGCTCATCGCCACATCCCCACTAGTGTCTCCAGATGTGTCCCACCTCCGCTTTCGAGTCCGATTCTTGGGTGCGGCGGGTCGTTCTGAGTCTTCGTTGTATGTGTGCTTGTCTTCGGGCTCCGGGGTGCCGACCTCGCCATTCTGGAGCGTTGCCTGATGTTCGACACCGTCCATGTCATCATCATCTTCGCCTGCCGCGATCTGCTCCTTCTTCTTTGCCTCCAAGAGGCCCCGCACGCGTGCCTCCTCCCGCTCAAGTTCTCGCTGCTCCATGACCTCCTTGAACGTCTTGTCCTCACCACCTTCCAGAGTGCGCTTGTACCGCTGCTTTTGATAATCCGTCTCCCGGCTCGCAATTTGCGCCTGCTTCTCCCGGCTATCCAGAATATCGTCCTCTGCTGTCTCTCCATGCGCCCACTCACCAATTTGTGCAGCCGTAGCCGTATACTGGCCCACCAGCCGGCCATCGCCATCATCGTCGCCGTCCGCCATGGTTTCGTCATCGTCAACGGCGATGCTGGTGTTGTAAGCCGAGCGGTCGTCGTCGCCGTATAGAGTCGTGTCCATGGCCTTCGTGAGGGACACCTTCGTGCCGTTAGTGCGCTGGCCTGAAGCGTCGTTGATGCCTCGCTTTCCTGAGCTCGCGTTGCGCTCCGCCTGCGCGGCCTTGACCGCGTTAAAATCGGCGTCCGACATTGTCTCTGGCGGTGGTCCAGTGCCGCGCGATCAAGTGATGTTCATTGGGGAGATGATGTTGCCTCGAGGTTGAGAAGTGAATGAAGGTGCCAGGTGGGGACTAAACTTTTACATGAGCCTAAAATGCGACTTCACAACACGCCAAAACGCGACTCATCCTTCAGAACCAAGAGTTGCATTTCAATGCAAATCATAAAAAAAGTATGCTGGTAGCTATCTATCTACCTTGTGAGACTGGCATACACTGTGACCTTCTCAATATCCAATCCCTTTGCATCCGCATCAACCTTTGCAGCAGCGACTTCAACTTCAATCCTGTTCACGCCCGAGGCCAATTGGCCTTCATAAACATGCGTTCTCTTGCCTGAATCAGCGTGAAACTGTGTATCACGCTGAGTCAAACGCCCCCCATTCAAAGTGACAAACATCTTGTACGGCCGTCCCATGGACAGCTCCTTGCTGATGGTCGGTGCAATCTGTAAAATGTGGTGTGTTGGTGGTAATGTTACAGTGGCGCTCTGATGTGAGAGCGACGGATGAGGTGGTATTATAAGGCGGTGTGGCTTCGGGATCTGGAGCTGGGGAATTGTCGATATCGCAACGACTGGCAAAAGAGCTTGCGCGATAGGGTATGCGCGGAGTGGTGTGGGAGGCAATGCAGCAGGTGCAGTGAAGTGGTAACCGTTCGCAGGCGGTGGCATACCAGGATGGCCTGGAAATGGGCTGTTACTCGCTGGTCGTGCCACTGGCGGCGGCATTGTGCCGTTCACAAGACCGTTCGCAACAGGCTGTACCGCTGGCGCCGCACCAGGCGCAGGGGACATCGTAGCCATCTTTTCGTGCTTGACAGCAGGGAATGGCGGGCTTTGAGCCTTGTTTGATGGACCCGGCGTGGCCGCTGCTGCTGCTTGCGATGGTGGTCTTGTGGCGCCGTTTGTGGGCGGAGTTGGCCTCGACGGCGTCTGCTCGCCATTCACGCCAGCCTGTACCATTTGCCGTTGGCGGAGAAGAGCGTCACTGTCAACGCTGACACCCGGTGTTGGCGAATTTCGGTGTTGATGTAGATTCAGGGTAACTCCAGATTTGGCCTTGGGTCCTGCGAGCTTGAGTCTCGCCGCGGCTGGCTCATCGACCTTTGACTTGGCTTCGGCGAGTAGGGCCTTGAACGTTTCCTGCAAGAGGATTAGCATTTCCAATGGTGATCATGACGCCTGGTGGGAATCATACCTCAAACTCGCCTGCAAGCTCATACATCTCGCTCCCGTCCTCGTTGTATTCTCTGCAATTGCGCCAGATGAAGCTGACTTCCTCCTCGAAGGCATCCCATGATTTGAAGTCGGTTACTCCTGTATTTTCATCGCGCCCGTGAATGCCATGAGTGCGCTTCTGTACGCTTTTCAGGGACACAGGATGTCGTATGATCTTGTAGTAATCCTCGAGCTTCCTCGATGGCAATGTGACGAAGGGCGTGAAAATCTCAATTCTGGACATGGGACATCAGCGCCGGCGCATATAGCTAGACGAGCTCTGTCACAACTCACCCTCCATCTCCATCTTTCCGTTCAATCAGGTCTTTCACAATCATTCGCTGGGCATCCTCGAACGATTTGCCGGTGAAGTCGCGATCTACGCCATTCGCAATGCCATTTCCGTTCACGCTGGTTTTAACGCCGCTGTCCTCAACTTCTCTTGCCTCATCCTCACCTACGGATGCACTTGGGGCTGCTGACGGCTTCCTCTCCGATGGCGGTTCCGAGCGCTTCGTCTCTGATCGTCTGGAGTTTACAAGTGAGATCCTCGTCTTGCTGCCTTCAGGTCGAATCTGTTGCTCCTGCTWGACACTCTCGCCATTGCGTGCACCGTTTGTCAGAGTGAGCTTGTGCTCGACAAAGGGCGTAGGTTCGGCATGGTACGCCGGGTCCGCGTACGCAGGGTTGTGTGTCTTCATGTAGTTGTAGACCAGCTTGCGGATGCGCTCGGAATCCTCGTAAATGTCACTCTTTGGAAGATTGTATTCTTTTGCATTCCAGGTCATCCGCTTGAAGTCCCTCTCGATCGCGGAAATGGTAGGATACAGATTCTGTCGTAGTTTGTTCTTGATTGTGTCCAGAGCTAACGGCATGCGTATCATTTGATAATAGTCGGGGAACTGGTCGCGAGGTGGCAGTTCCAAAAAGGCATCCGCGATGGGTCGTTTGCTGGCAAAACGGGTCAGCATCGATCGCATGCATGGAAACGGTGACTTGATACTTCTTGTCGGTCGCATTGCGAACCTGCTCGACCAGCTTCAGACCGACCTTCTGCACGGCTTCCGCAGTTGTTTGCGCGGGTGTCTGCGCGGAGGGCGCGGGATTTGRGTTCTGCGGAGAGACATGTCAGTATGGTGCTGCCAGAACGCGCGGGTCCCGGGTGTAGTGCTTCTGGCGGGTGAGTAGACCGAAGGTAAGTTCTCATCATCGCGCTCGCGCTGGCTTGCTCTGATCTGCAACAACACCGACCGCATCTCAACACGCGCTGCCTGCCCATCCTTCGCGACTCCAGCGCCAAAGAGTCTCTCTTCTACGCGCAAATAATGCGTCACAACGTACCAGTAGCTTCAGCTTCTTGGTCGCGTTCCCATCGCTGGTCGAGGGAGTGGCTGCCTGCGAATATCTTCGTTTCCGGCCGGAGTCCATGGTCGCGGGTGGATTTCGAATCGGACTGGGCGATAGCTAAAGACAGTCGAGGCAATCAGCGCGCGTACCGCAATTAATGAGCTCCAGAAAATCGACAATAGCACGCATGGAGGTTCGCTCAAGGCTGCTCGAGATGGGCCCTTTCTCCGGAAGGTGGGTGCCTGAGGCTTGGATCGGTTAGTCCCGCTAGCGGGAACTCAAACTCACAGGCTGAGTGCATCTTCGTCAGACTATAGTACCCGAAGGTAACGATTCGGCCTGAACTGCGGAATCGTTTCGTTCATTTGCAGCTGTTGAGCTCGCCGGCTTGCATAAGATAGCTAGCCTCGACACAATTCAAGACATGCCCTGGTGACGGGGTCGATTACAAGAGCCGAAAACTGGACCTCATTGCTCACATCAAGTACGAAATGATACCATGTACAGGTGGGATTCATCGAACGATCGCAATTGGACATATGAACGAAGCTTTAGAAGAAGAAGATGGAGAAGACAATGCGCCTCTCCAGATCCCATGCTCTGACGGCAGCCCTGCTTTGGCGAAACAACTGCTGAGCAATGGCACTGATCCGAACGAGCTGCCTGAGGGCTGGTATGGCAAGACTGCTCTACAAGCCGTCTTGGTCGGAGGATATACCGGAATTCTCGACACCCTCCTAGCCTCCGGCGCCAACCGGGAGGGGACACCGTCCGGGGCGCTACTCTTGTGGATGATTTCTCATATCGACAGCTCTGTCTGTGTTGCAAATAAATTGGCCAGGCCAAAAGGAAGCTTGCTCTCTGGCTTGGCACACGTACCCAGAGCAATGGTAAATCCTCGCTGTTGCTCCATCCTGAGTACTGGGAAATCTGCTCCACGAATCCGCGAACCTAGTTTACGTTTCGAGGCATCCAGCCTAACAAACCAGGGAGACCAGATTTGATGAACATAGCATGGGCCTTAAGCAGATCTGCGGTCGTGCTGAAATATGCTTCAAAGGGCGTTTGCAAATGCCAAAGCCCTGCGACACCACTCAAACCCGCCTAATCGTCACCCTTTTGGGTGATGAGGGTGCGGATTGATAAGCTCTTTTGGTGCCTGGCTTTCTGCAGCCTCCTCTTCTGGCTTCTTTTCTGCCTTCTTTCTTTTCTTCCCTCTTTGTCTTTGCCAGGACCGCGTGTATTTTGCACTCCACATTTATCACAACGCGCAGGACCCGAGGCAGTCTTCAAACTCGAGCCCGAGAGCTCTCGAGATGTAGAATTTTGGATAAGAGTAGACTGCCAGACCTGTCGCTTCCGATGGTCGATCCATTCGATGCAGTCGGCATGCCCAGGACTGCCAAAATACTCCTATCAGTCAAGTCACTCGCCAGGGAACGGCGAGCCTACGGAATCGTCGACAGACTCTTAGAAGTGTCAGAGCTCATTCTAGAAGGTGGACCGCGCCTGGCTCAAAGATCTTTGACAATTCTGCTACAATGTTAGAAGGCACCGTTGCCATCAAATGTGCCTCGTCGTCGCCAATGTAGGTTACGATGGTGGTCGTGGAAGGGATAAAGGGTCAATGATAGTGAATGACAGCTGGAGGCAATGCTGGAGCCTTGAAGTGGCATCGAGGGCCCGGTTTGATTATCAATTTCGAGTAAAAACAATACTTTAACTCTTCCCACTGCTGGCAGGATGTGACGAATTAGTTTGAGGCAATTTGCAAAGGGTTGGAAGGAACGATGTCCGGGCTGCTGCCGGCGGTCCGAGCCGTGCGGGTCGTGCTTTTGACCTGCTTAAATTTTCTCTGCTGCATTTCCATTTCACACCCAAGCCGCAACATTTACAGGGCTCGCTATCGCAGCCTCACTTCGCCCACAGCTTCCAACTCGATAACCTGAACGTAGACTCGAGATGTGACGAAGAGCCGCATGGGACGGCAAAAGGAGACAGCATCCGCTCGCAAACCCAGCCCCATGAAGGCTCCCGACTGCTTCCATCACACGCACCTGCAGATTGCCATCAAACGAAAGCTGGCGACGAAGCACTCGGCACAATCTACAGCAGTGCTCATCCCAATGGTAGGTACTCCGCATGCTCTTCCCTCCTACTTCCCTCTACATGATGACTCGTGTACCATTTTACACTATTGGCACCTCTCATGTCAGTGCCGCAAGGCTCGATGATTTATAATGGACTAACTGATTGTATCGTTTCCAAACACTACTTGCTTCAACTCAATTTTCATCAGAATCTGAGCTAACATTCCATCAACAGATTCATAGCAATGTTGCACATCAGCTGTTCAATGGTAGCTAGCAGCCTGTCTCTCTCCTTAGAGTCTTGGTCAGCGTGTTTGAGAAGCTATGGAACACCACCTCGTATCCGTGTTCTCCGTAGGTAATGAGCCGCCGCTGACCTGGCGGGCTGCGAAGTCGCAGGTTGCTCTGCGGCTCTGCGCACCTGTCTGTCGTATTCATCCTGTAGGTACAACTTCATATAGCTAGCTGCCTCTTCCTCTTCCGTCATTGCTACAGATTCAGCAACATAAACGACATTCTATATCAGCTCACTCTCACTTCGCTTTTGCTTCTTCCATACCCAAACTCAGCCTGGCAGCACTGCGACGCTGCCCTGGTCCTGCGTTTCTTGCCCAACGCAGCAATCGCCTCGGGTTTGTCATCGGCCGCCAAAATCTCACTGCTCGCCCGGAGCTTCTGAAGCATGTGATACCCGGTCCACAGCGCACGAAGAAGTACTTCTCCAAATCGCACAGTGGGCCTGGTTACGATGCTTTCCCAGGGAGAGCCAGAACCTGCGCATCGCTCAACGGGATGTACAACATCCATGCACTGCTGCGGTGTTTGTACGCTTATAAGAAWCTGATGCCGCTACAAGACCAGGTACAGACACTCGTGCTCGTTGATCCCTACGAATGATTGCTACAGCACATGCATGGCGCAAAACCTGCATCTTCGCAATTGGCAGCACCGAGCCGTTGTTGCTCCAGCAAGCAGGGCGTTTGATCATGCGCTTGATCGTGCCTGAATGCCACATCATTGGTGACGGTGCGTTTTCTCATGCACACAGAAGAATGCCATGCAGTCGTGCAATGTCTCTCGTGATTTCGGTAGCTGCTACAACGACCTCCGTGATGTTGGACCCAGTCACGGCTCAAGCACAGATGACTCGTGGCAGCGATCCTTGCATGGTTCCGATGCGAGTCCCACGCAGAGGACGACGATCTTCATCTTCAACGGAACTACGGCATCGAAGTCGTGGCGCAAACAAGCTCAGGACAAGACACGGCACCGTTCATCCGCGTTGCTTATTCGCATGTTCGTGACAAGGTGACATCGTTGACGGCTTTATGACACGAGTTGTGCTGTCGTTGGGCAAAGTTAATGGTTCTTTGCGACAATCAGCTGTACAAAGGTCTGTAGGAGTAGCGCAGCCAAGACTCACATTCAGCCATCCATTTGTGCCGAAGCCAGGGGTAGATCGACTAAGGCGTCAGCTTGATCTTTGCTTCGTTCTAAAAAAGACAGAGTATACTGCTATAGGCAAATCCAAAGCTCGTTGCTCTCCTCCTACGTACTGAAGTACGTGGAGAAAGTTTAGACACTCCGCATGCACGGAATATAAACTCTGGAACAATCAAATTTAGTTCGCAGGCCTGTGATGCTTAGGTACAAAGCTTCTTTTCACGAGTACAGTATGCCGGCTTTGCCACATTCCTACATTCCTTCATGCAGCGCCGGCAAACATTTGATGCTCCAAGCGGCGTGGACACGTAGATGCCGGTGAAGATGCATGTAAGAACAACGGATGCTCCAAAGTGCAGACGCAAGAGACAGCCATCTCGAGCCCCGAAATGAAGAGATCTGCGGGCAGCGGCATTGCAGTACGCGTCCAAGCTCCTTCCCTGTGGTGAAACGATCATCCCTCCGATCATCATCCCTCTCGCATCCCTCTCCCTCTTCATTCCTCAGTCACTCTTTGACCACACTCACTCCAGTCGATCATTAAAGCCATCCCACGCGACCACTCACTCATTTGCGGTCCTGGAAAAACACGTCAATCGACATCACCGCGATAATAATCAAAAATCAACAATCGCAACTTAATTTCAATAAGCGCCTAAAAGCGACACGCGCGAGAGTCTTCGCACCTCCCTGCACTTACTGCGACACATCAACGCGACCTCGACAGCCGGAACGAAAAGATGAAGTCCTTCATCGCAGCAACGCTGTTTGCCGCCACGGCTTTGGCCGATTTGTGTGCTCATGGCAGCACCGATGACAATGGTAAGGATGCGCCAACGAACGCTTCATAAGCATCCATACTGACACCTCTCGAGGCAACTATTACTGCCAGAAGGTCAACGCGATCACCTATTCAGGCGTTGGTGGGACGGGATCGTACAACAAGATCACCGCCATGGACTCCACCGGAGGCACATGCGCCAGCTCGCCCAGTGGCTACTCTGGAACCATGTCACCTTTCGACGAAGAGGTGTCAATGCACTTCCGCGGCCCATTGAATCTGAAGCAGTTCGCCGTCTACACTCCGAGCTCGTCCCCCAGCAAGGCGAAGCTGGCCCGCCGTAGTGCAAACGACAGGCGCCATGCCCACGGACATGGCCACGCGCATTTGCACCATGCTCGTGACGCCGCTGCGAAGGAGAAGCGCGGGCTCGGCGATATGGTCACTGCCATGATCAACGGCGAAGTAGTCTCGTGGGTGAACGAGTATGCCGGCGGTGCAGCTGCCACATCTGCTGCCGCACCTGCAGCATCCACTGCGGAAGCCTCTGCGCCAGCCGCCTACCAGCCGGCTCGCCGTCCGGCTGCCGCATCCTCTGATGCATCCGCCAGCTCGCACTCTTCTGCGTCTTCGTCTGACGATGACTCCAGCTCTTCAAATGGATGGACCCGCCAGGCATACTACGACGCCTCGTCCGGAACTTCTAATGGTCTTGTCTTCCTGAACCACGAGGGTGGCACTGGTTCCGGCGTCTTCGATATGCAGTTTGGAAACTCTCTGTCATACGCCAGCACCGATGCCTGCTCCGGTGTCGCGGCTCCCACTGTCCTCGAGGATTGCACGCTCAAGTCGTCCACCGAGGTCGTCATTATGAGTGACAAAAAGTGTTCCGACGACGAAGGCTGTGGCTTCTCCCGTGACGGCACCGTTGCTTACCACGGCTTCGACGGCCCAAGTAAGGCATTCTTCTTCGAGTTCGGCATGCCAGACAGTGGCGAGACTGCCACCAACCCTTACGACCCAGTCAATATGCCCGCCATCTGGATGCTAAACGCTCAAATACCACGCACGCTCCAGTACGGCAAGCCAGAGTGCTCGTGCTGGACCACCGGATGCGGCGAATTCGATATCTTCGAGGTTCTCGCGGCTGGCGACACTCGCTGCAAGAGCACCATGCACGGCAACATCGCCGGGGGTGACAGCGATTACTTTGAGCGCCCAGTGACCGGAACCATCAAGGCTGCATTGCTCCTGTACAAGGACAACATGCATATCAAGATCATCGACAACAGCACCGAGTTCGGCAACGACATGCCAATGACGTTCCTTGATGACATGGTCAAGGACACCATGGAGGACAGCCTGAGCAACTTGGTTTCCCTCTTCAAGCTGAGCTCGTAGGTCAGCTTGCAGCTTGCAGCTTGCTGCAGCAGTGATGAACCTGCTTCTCTTCCAATACGTCCTTGGTGTCTTCCCCAAGCGGGAGAAGGGAAGTTGGGACGTGAACGGCCAAAACCATACAAAGCGACGAAACCGGGATTATGGGCTGGGCTGGGCTGGGTGTACTTCAACGTTGTTGTTTTCTTCCTCAGCGATTGGATATTCCAAGCGCCTGTACATAGTTGAGGATCCGTCTCGCCCGCCAGAGAAAGGCTTGCAGTTTCAGTACGTGGCTGCCTCGGTGCGGCGGGCGCGACAATAGTCGGTCCTCACGATGTTTTGTTACAGATCTGTTCAATTGTCCATCTTCATGCCTCTTTGCACACTCTTATCGTCAGTGACTCCCATKTCTTTGTTCCCTGCCACGCCGTCCGGGCGGTCAAGCCAGGCACCTCTCGTATGCTGTCCACGGGTGCATTGAATGCCTGACGAAGTCCGTGGTACGTCTCCTAGAAAAACCACATGTGCTTCAATGCTCTCCCCAATTCGTTCCATGGGGTTCGACCGAGCCTGGAGGCTAGAGAGACCGGGGTGCGATGAGCAATCCGCCTTAAACACCTCGGCAAGATCCAGACTCTTTGTGGCGATCACCACGAGCGCAACTTGACCTGCATTCTTCCGAAAACATCCTTCCCTTGACCACTTTCAACTGCGCCGCGTCTTGCTCCAGCACTCCGTGCAAGATTTGCGCGATTGCCGGTGCATTGTGAAGTCTGACAGCGCGGCGCCATTTGCACATGCCGCGCTGCCTACCATAAGCCGAACTCGCTAAGAGTGCGCGAAGCAACAAAGCACACCGGATTATGGCCTCCCCGCCCAAGCCGTGGGRAACACAGCGAGCAGGAGGCAACACGAGCGGTATGTTGGAAGCTTATACCTTGCTACGTCGAATATGACTGACGGAGAGACAGCTGCGGTACCGACTTCAATGACCACAACAGTAGCGAATCCGACGTCGAACTCTTCTGCTGCCACTCCTGCTCTGCCTGCACGACCGGACGCGCTTAACTCTATTGCATCGCGAACAGCTGCAAACTACTCTTCTTCTTATAATCGGACCTCTCCTTACGGCACTGGGATTGGAGGTGGGATTGGAGGAATGTCGTCATACGGCTCGCCATACAGCCGCTTCGGCGGCATGGGTGGAATGGGCGGTGGGATGTATGGAGGTGGGATGTATGGAGGTGGCTATGGAGGTATGGGAGGCATGGGAGGCATGGGAGGATATGGCGGTGGGATGTACGGCGGGCCTGGAATGATGGGCCCCAACGGCCAGGATCCCAGCCTGACGCAGACGTTCAGCAACAGCACACAAGCTACCTTTCAGATGATTGAGAGCATAGTTGGAGCTTTCGGTGGCTTCGCACAAATGCTGGAGAGCACGTACATGGCCACTCACTCCTCCTTTTTCGCCATGGTCAGCGTGGCAGAGCAGTTTGGCAACCTGCGACAAACACTCGGATCCGTTCTGGGAATCTTCACAATCATGCGCTGGATTCGAACAGCGCTGGCGAAACTTACAGGACGACCACCTCCAGCGTCTTCAAAAGAGCTGACGCCTGCGAACTTTGCCTCTTTCTCTGGCCAACCAGGACCGGACGGGTCTCCAGCGCAGCCAAGACCGAGCAGGAAGCCATTTGTGTTCTTTGTGCTTGCAGTCTTCGGGTTGCCATACCTGATGGGCAAGTTGATTCGTGCTTTGGCGTCCTCACAAGAAGCTGAACAGCAGCGTCAACTTGCCGGCGCGCCATATGGWGCAGATGGCCAACAGCAACCTCTGGATCCCAGCAAGCTGGACTTCTGCCGTGCACTCTACGACTACACTCCTCAAACCCAACCAGGCCAGCCATTCCAAGAGGGCGTGGACCTCGCTGTAAAGAAGGGCGACCTCGTCGCCGTTCTGTCCAAGTCAGACCCAATGGGTCAGCCATCAGAATGGTGGCGATGCCGTGCACGAGACGGTGGCGTGGGATACCTCCCAAGCCCATACCTGGAGACCATCCAGCGAAGGCCTGCGCAAGCGCAGATTGCTGCCAAGAGCGCAACAAACAGCGAAGCGAGTTCGCGAGTCAACACCATGACGGCAAGTGTTGAGAACGCAGCCAGCCGAGCGAACTCTATGAAGATCACCGACAAGGAGAAGGCTGAGATCAAGAAGGCGCCGAAGGAGCCACCAGTCATTCACTCCAAGCAGGGTGATGTGCCTGTCGAGAGCTTCCAGCGTGGAGCTTTTTACTCTTGATTCTTTGGGAAGAGAGATAAGGGGTGACTTACGATTTTCTTGTATAGTGAGCGGGTGGCTCTGGGAGAGCTTGATTTTTGCACTGGCGTTTACTGAGCGATGTAGATGCGGATCACTGATCCATCGGTGCTTCACGATGGCCACCTATGTTGACGGACTGGTTCTTATGGCGTTCAATGAAAGCATCTGTATTGAGACTTTATCCATTTAACTATCTCTTTTCAAGTCGCATGGCGCTTACGGCATTCACTCGATTGAAATGATACTTGCAATATTTTCCCAGCCGCCTGACTATCATATGCAGATTATAAGACCCAAGGGAAAGGCGGTAAAGTAAGTACCAGACATGATCCTGCAGTCTAGGTACAACCGTCGCCGAAATAGTATCAGGAGTCTCGACCTGGAGTAATCCAGTCTATACCATTCTTCAGCCATCCAGCTCATCTCACAATCCAGTATAGAAAGCCGATGATTCCGCAGCCCGCCACCTTCAACATCGGTCAGCATCACAAGCAAACACATCAACCTCGCAAGCCTCGAGAAACGCCTTACGATTGAGGTTCACGATAATATCTACACTCATCGTCAGCCAAAGCTCTTGGCGGCAATAATGACACAACAAACTCACCCTGGCTTGCCATTCTTTGCCCCTCGGTCTTCGACATTATCAGAGTTTGAAGTTATTGTCCTTGTCATCGTAGCTTCTCCATGTTGCGTCGCTTGTGGTGGAGCTTCGGTTTCAACGGTTGTATCGTTGGAATTGCGAGTGAAGACCTTTTTCAGCCAGACCATTGATCGTTTGGATTTGAGGGCTGGCGATTGCTTCTTGGATTTCTCTAGATTATCGTCGGTTGTGGCGTTTTGAGTTTTTGTGTCGCTGACGGGACGTTGTTGTTCATTTTCAGATATCGGCATGTCGGTTGTGGTTGCAGACAGCTTGCGTTTTAGTTCGACGACTGAGACGGTTGTACGTAAAGTGGACTTCGACCAGACTCGTTTCAAAGGTAAAATGTTGATAGTGGGAATTGGAAAGTCTCTTGGTGAGACATTTGGGTTGCCTGTATGAGGTGGTAGAGGAGTGCAGAACATGGTTCGAAAGTTCGGAGAATTGCAAATGATTGAATGAGAATGAAATACTCCGGTGAAAGGGAAGATGGGGGGGTTAAAATGAAGAGGGATGTTCGCTTTATATACTGACAAGCCATCGACTCCCGTCACACTCTGGCATGCCGGGGTATATATATCAGCCAACCGGCGTATCATCCGACCACTACGGTGTCGTACACGCACATGAGCTGATAATCATGGCTGCTTTACGTGATTTAGAAGCCTTCATCAGCGATTCGCTGAGCTGGATACACCACAATGCGCCTTTACCCTGTGCGGATCGTACCCTGTAGCTTGGAGGATCGATGGAGGATGCGGAAGGTTCGGATAGTTCGACAAGGGCAGTCAGGGCTGCTGACAGGGATCTAGCTCGGCATTCAATAGCGCCTGAAGCCTGGAGGTGTTCGACCAGGGCTCCTGTCCGTCGATCCCGGGCTCGAGCAGGTCGAGAACCAAATCGCATTGATGACAGGACCCAAAATGCTTCTCAACGAGTCGATATTCCCACGATCGCGACAAGGCAGCACGCCAAGCATCGTACGTCCTTCGCCGTCAATGACTGACTGGCACGCATTTGCTGTTGGCCACTACTCGAGTTCGCGCATCGTTGTATTCGGGATCGTTAAATGTCATGAATACCAGCCTTTATCAGAGCGAGGTCCAGGATCTGGCTCTCTCCATCTTAGGCCCGACGAAACCGGTGATTATCAACCTTGCATTCGCATTTCGCCGTTGAACAARAGGGTATTTCCAAGCTCCAGCCTCGGCTGAGCATGTACTGTGTCGCCAGACAACAACGCCTTTGCCATGCAGATGATTGCATCTTCATACGTTTCCCTGGAAGCTCAGGTAGGTCCTCAAGAGAGTCTAACCCTCCACCTCCGCACTCCTCTGCTTCRAGAAGTCGGCAAGCCATTCCAAAGGCTTCTCCGGCTCATACATGGCCAAGTGCTTCATTCCTTCCAGCAGATGCGGCGTAACCTTTGAGTTGAGATATTGACGTGTTGGGCCACCATGCGCAACAGGTTTGTCTGGACGCGCAGGAGGCTGTGGAGGCATTGAATTGGGTCGAGTAGTAGCACCTCCTGGTGGGGTTGCGATGGCAGGTGCAATCGTTGATAGATGCTCGGGGATCGAAGCCGGCACGGGAGCCGGGGCAGGAGCAGGAGCAGGCGCAGGAATCGTCTCTTGAGAGGGAGCGCGAACGGGCACTGGCGCTGGAGCTGGAGCAWCTGGAGGTGCTGGAGCATCTGAAGGCGCTTGTGGCGGAGGGTTGGGATCGGTGGGATCGGCTTGCTGGATGTTGTCGAGTGGTGGTGCCTAGGATGTATTTAGTGAGGGAGAGAGCAAGCGCAGGGAGGGATGCGGTAACTTATACCTCGATCGGCGCTTCCTCTTTCATTTCAACATCAGCGTCGAGATTGGCTGCAGGCACCTCGGCATTGCCATTACCATTGGTGAGTTGCTCATCAGCCATGTTGTACTGCAGGCAGAGGGATAGAGCGGAGGTTGTAGAAGAATAATAGCTAGTCGCGTTCGAGCCCGCGTTTGGAAGGCGCGCCACGAGACTAGGCTTGGCGCTACTTTCGACTTCACGACATCTCTTCCCCCGATTATTCCCAATTTTCGAGATAGTCCAAACTCCATCTTGATTTTTGAGGCCCCATAACATGCACTCAATTTGTTACTCCCGAAGCTGGCATGCCGTACACAGTCCACACGAATTACGTTGATGGAGTGTGCTATGGGCCAATCACTACATGAAATCACAAGTTGCGTGCTGGTTCTCAGGGAAATGGCGAAGAATCCAAGGGTAAACGATGTTGGTTTGTCGCTTGTCCCCATCGCACCATCACCAAAGGGCGATGGTCCAGTCTCCAATGACTAGATTCGTCGCATAAATTTGCTGAGAGTCTCGCACACACTCGACCAGTACGCATTTCAGGCTTCTAATGCTTTGTAAGTTTGTAAGTACACATTTTTTATCTTTGTGATGGGATGTAGGGCCACACCGAGCATGAGGCCTGCTATCACGCTATTAAGAGAGCTATTTTCAAGACAGTTGGGAAGAGGGACCATCGACCGTGGATCGGGAAAGGCTACGGAACTTAGTGCAGAGTCGAGGAGGATGCTCAGGTCTTCCTCTCCATACCACTAACCCGCTGGATTCTCGTGAGAGACGGGTATTTACCATCTGTTGCGAGTTCATTCATTAGCGCCAGCCTGGATCATGCAAGAAAACATTGGCTCGAACCGCCCCTATTCGCCGGAAAAGCTCTTCGCTCGCATCTCCCTAGAGTTGCTTCTGACGCTGCTAATGGGCAGGGTCTTTGATGTGTCATCACAACCGCTCAGAGCGAGAGAGAAATCAAAGTGAGGGGCCCATTGATTTAGAGTTTTGGACTCATTCACAGCCCTATCTAACTTTCCATCTTCGAATCTCCTTCTCTTTTAAACGTCCACTTTTTCCCCTCAGTTTTTCCAACACTTCACATCCACATCCACATCCACTGCCATGGCTCCGAAAGCGGCTGTCAAGCCGGGAGGCGTCAAGACTGAGCCGAGCACCCCCAAGAGCAAGCCCAAGGCTTCCGCCGCCGATACTCCCAAGAAGGCACCATCCACCACTCCGCGGAAGCCAAAACTGGCAGCTCCACCACGTGATTACAAGATCCTGGCTGCTGATGGCGACACTTCAGTGATCACGGTCAAATACGAGGGCTCCCAGCAGGCCTTGGCGCTGCCATCCGGCGGCCACAGCCTCAACTTGGAGCTGGGAGCTGCCAACGCGTTCACCGTCGTCAAATCGGTAAACAACACGCTTTCCACTGTAGAACCATAGAACTCTGCCGCTGACGTCCACTCTAGACTGTTCTGACTGAGGGTCCCTACCAGGGATACCAGGCGATCATCCTTCGACCCGCCAAACCATTCAAGTTCATGGACCTGCCAATCGCCGTCCGAAACACCGTCTATCGCATGTATTTCGCGCCAAAGGGCCTGACGGAGGAGACCACGGCCATCGTTCTGGATGGAAAACGCGCCACGGACAAAGTTCCGTACTCCAAGTCGTTCGCAGATGGCTCCAAGCAGCGTGTGGGCCTTCTTGCAGTGAGCAAAATGGTAAGTGAATTTCATTCCAGGTTCACCTACAAGAGCCAGCCCATTTCGCTCTCCTCGAGTTTTCGGCTAACAAGCTCCAGGTAAACGCTGAAGCGGCCGCTATCCTGTACAACCACCCACTCCGGTTCGAGAGCACGACTGTCCTCGGCGAATTCCTCGTCGAATATCGGAGCACTCGGAGTAAGATTTGCAACGTTGAGGTCAAGAACTACAAGAAAGGAGCTCGCATGGCTCTGATCTTGCTAGCCGAGGCACCGAATATTCGTCGTTTGCGGTTGGAGGGTGGAGTTTCCACTGAGACAGACCCCCGCAAGGCCGCCAAGGCTCTCTATATGGAAGCCGCACAGCTACTTGAGGCCATTGGAAAGCAAAAGCAGGCCAAGGACGCTGGTGTAGAGGTTTTGGAGTTCGGCAAGGAGGCCCTGACTATCAAGGGCGGTGGGAACTACAACACAGACATGAGGAAGGAGTTCATTGAGTCTCTCAAAAAGCTCTGCAAGTAAGTGCATGCTTTGAAGCCCCCGTGCCGATACGAGAGACTGATTCCCTGGGGATAGCTAAATTGTGTTTCTCTTGCTTATGCTTTTGTTTCTGCTTTCAGGAATACCTGGGATCCAACGGGATGGACTTGCTGGTGCGGAAACCTACTCGGTGGACACATTTGCCGYGTGGTCATGAAGGAGCGACAGGATGAGTTGCTGCAGCGGGAGGTTTTCATGCAGCATTCCATGTTGATGCAAACCCAATGACTCTTAGAGTTTTCCTCCATTCGCGAGGAAGCTTTTGCTGCTGAAGAAGCTCAGGGTACTACGATTGATGCTGCAGCCAAGGAGATGACCTTCGAATTGGTACCTAGGTAGTCAATTGAACGAACCAACTTCTGGCAGCTTCTGTTTCCATTGACTTCCCGATCGATCAAAGTCTACATCTGGCTCGCGATTCGACCCCCTCTGTATTCGACAGGCAATCTATTGGCGAACAAGGTACTGGATTGGCCGGTGTAGCCACGGAGATGGCGTGCAATTTATTTCCAAACGGATAAGGACGGAATTTCCCAACGTCGTGCCTGAATCCATCGCGGTAATTTTCGATGTGGATTAATCTCTTGCTCGCGAACACTGGAGAGCGCTCTATTATCGAAAGCTTTCTAAACATGGTCCATCACAGCGCATTTCTTCATTATCGTCATCGTTATTGTATACATCAATCCTCTCCATTCAGCGCATCCAGAACATCCTGCACGAGCTTCTCAGCATGCCCATAAGTTGTACCCTGTGTATGACCCGGAGGAGTGAAAGGCAGACTTGAAGAATCAATAACCCTCAACTTCTGCACGCCAAACACACGACCCTTGGAATCAACCACAGCATCCGGGTTATCACTTTTGCCCATCGCACAAGAAGCCGAAGAGTGATGGATGACGCTGACTTGGCTGACGACCGTCTCCAAGAGCTGGGCATCAGTGGTGACGTTTTTACCTGGAAAGACCTCGTCGCCGACTCTGATGGGAATAGCTTGCCACATCTCTCTCGCCACTTTGTAAGCTTGTACTGCGACTTCCTGATCGATCGGATCTCGTAGCCAGTTGGGGTTGACAACGGGGGCGTCAAGATTGCTGGCCGAGCGGATCGTCATATTGCCTCGAGAAAGTGGCTTGACAAGAAGGGCACCGATCGAACCCGTCAGCTTGGTGGTGTTGGTGACGGACAGTGAAGTCGCAGAAGTAGCAAGATTGAACTCAACCTCGGGCCAATCACTTGGAAACTTCGCCAGAGCCTCGCGAGCTGCGGCTRTGAGATTGTTGCGAACAGCCTCGGGGAAGCGGTACCACCCAACGACATTGGAGCCCTCATTGGTAAGTGGACCAGTAGCGTTCGTGAGTAGTGACTGTACTGCTTGGTGCATACGCTCTGATTCGGAGATGGCGGCCATTGACGTGATTTCTGGAAGGTCGATCTCGTAGCGAGGTCCGTTGATGGCACATGAGTCCCACATGTTTTGCCYAACTCCTGGGAGATCGGATACCATGGAGATGTTGAATTTGTTGAGAGTCTCTGCCGGGCCAATTCCAGACACCATGAGGAGTTGAGGCGAGTGCCACACTCCTGCCGAGACAATGACTTCTTTTCGAGCGGTCAGGGTGAATGGGTACATGCCGTTGATGGTCACATTGACACCGGTGGCTGTGTTGTTCTCAAATATGATGTTCCGGGCTTGTGCATTTAGGTATGTCGTCAACGAAGGACGTTCGAAGGCTTTGGTCAAAAAGGAGCTTTCCGAGGAACTTCGAAGGCCTGWCGTTGGATCGATGGTGTATTGCCACCAGGCGTACCCATCCAAGATACCGCTAGAAGAGCCATCCTGAGACTTCATTCCAACCGCAGAATATGCTGCAGGACCGTACTGCGAAAATGGGTTCGTCTCTGAAGGGTAAGTCACTTGAAGAGGACCTCCCTCCGACGAGAAAGCAGAAGCGTCGTAATTCGGGCTGTAGCCTGCAACGCGTCTTTCTGCGTTATCCGAAAAGTTCATTGACCGTTTGAAGAACTTCTCCATGTTCTCATAGGTGTAGGCTTGGTCTCCAACGTGGTCCGCGAACCATTCGTACGAGCCCTTCGTAGCCCGATGGTACAGCATCTGATTACGTCCGGATGATCCACCAAGGTTTTTACCTTGAGTGTATCGTAGAATCTTACCATTGACCTKCGGTTCCGTGTACAGGCCCCAGTCAATCAATGGCTGTGGGAAGTCTGGCTCCGAGCGGATGAATGGCAATGACACTGCTCGAATGATCAGGGACAGCATTGGCGACTGTGCAGAGATTGAAACTCACTGGCAGGAATCTGACTCCAGTTGCCATTTTGCAACTCGTAAAAGTTTCCGGCCTCAATCAGTGCTACTGTAGCATTGCTGTRCTCTGTAAGACGACCTGCTACGACCGAGCCAGCAAGACCAGCTCCAACGATGACCTGTAGACAGAGATATCAGCTCCTGTTTTCGATTAATCGTGGCTTTTGAACGTATATAGTCGTAAGTAGCGTTGATGCCAGGAATACCAAAGGAACTGCCAGTTAGACGCCCACCAGACAACTGTGGTATACCAAGAACGACCGAGGCCAAGCTCATCAATACGAGCAGAAGCGTGGCAGGCATGACTGTGAAGTGAGAAGCTCGAGCTCACAATCGACAAGCTTTCAAGAGGACATGGCTGGACTTTTGTAGTTACTCCTAGCGGTCATGGCATGCCGGCGATGAGGTCAAGAGCGGATTTGCTTGCTTTGCCTGGTGGTTGAGGTCTCGGACAGATCTTTGACATATCGAGACTAGTCATTACCCAAAACTGAATATGCAGATATTTTATACTTTCGCGGTTGACGATCAGTGGCACGGTGTCGATTCCGTCAACCGCGAAAATCTTGTCGGGATCAGCGATCTCTCTTCAAAAAAGACTATGGAGAACAGTGTTGGGGAAGGATCCAACGAAATCAAGTACCGTGAGGACTAAGCAACTGGGTCGGGATCGTGCGAGTCCACGATTTGGAGTCGCCAAAGCTCGTTCCGAAGTGAATGCAACTTTTCTTCTGCGAGCGAAGCAGGACCTTACAGCATGCCACTGCTGGAGGGTGGGATGCTCCTGACGCTGAAGATCTTTCTTTGCACATCGTGTCCAGATTGTCGAGAGACACTTCCCGATACCTTAGACCTACTGTGTCAGCACTCTGAAGCGAGCAAGACCTCAAAATTGCCYACTAGTGACAAAAGAAATCCGATTCTGATTTCGCTGCGCTATATGTACAACGTACAGACCGCACGTCTCCCTCCGCTACCGCTACATGGCATCTTGAATCTCTTACTGCTCAGACGCAGCAGCACCAGTAATAATCTCGACCAGCTCGCCAGTAATCACAGCCTGTCTTGTTCGGTTGTAAAGAATCTGAAACTTGTCGATCATGTCGCCTGCGTTCTTGGAAGCATTGTCCATGGCGTTGCGGCGAGCGGAAATCTCACAGGCGTGGCCCTCAGCCAGCGCCCAGAAAATGGAGTTGGCCAACGAGTACTCGCGGAGGTTGCCGAGGACAGCGTCATCAATCTCGAAGTTGGAGTAGTTTGCTATTCAACATCAGTATGGTAGTAAATGGGATATCGAGTTCGTGTATGTCAGCTCACGTGATTCCTTGATGGCATCTTCGGAGAATGCCTCCAAAATGGTTGGCTCGTAGCTCTGAGCGTTGACAAACTTGTTGTACAGGATCTTGATGCTGGCGTATTCGGTGGGGAGGAGAGAGATCTGGTCGGCAATGGCCGAAGCATCTGCGARCGTGGGCACGTCCTTGCCGACACCAGCGAATGAAAGCTGGATGTCCTTTGGGTTGCTTCTGCCCAGCTGTGCCTTGGCCTTCTCTCCCACAATCACGAGGTCGAAGTTGGCGCCGTCCTGGTCGAACATGCGGCGGGTGGCACGGGACAGGCCAGAGTGGATACCACCGCAGAGACCCTTGTCGGAGCTGCACACAACGAGCAGCGTCTTCTTGCCATCGGCGTCGAGCGCTTTCGTTTCGGCCTCCTTGAAGACCGTGTCGGAGGTGCTACCGTAGGCGCGAGAAGAGTCCATGGCGCGCTGGGCCTTGGTGAGCTTGGTTGAAGCGACGATTTTCATCGTCTTGGTGATCTTCTCAATGTTCTTGATCGACTTGAGGCGGCCCTCAATCTCGCGAAGGGTGGCATAGTTGGCGGACTGGAGAGCGGGCGAGGCAGCGGTGGCTGCTGGTCTGCGCAGTGCTGTGTTAGCAGGAGTCTCTTCTCTTCCACTTCTCTCCCGTTGCCGCTCGGCGCATCGATGGACCGCCCTGAAGTCGGCAGAATCGGACATACCGCAGTGAAKAGACCGCGCCAGCGCGCACGACGGAGCGAGCAGCGAACATTGTGGGAGCTGAGAGATGGTGAGGCGGAGTGCTGCTTCAATGCCTCCGTCAAAGCTGCTTGCCGTGGAGAGTTGGAGCATCGGACGTCGGCGGCTAACGGGATTAGCCGCTCCGGCTTCGAGACTTGGGATTGTGCACTCTTTTGCATCCCTCACTCAATTCTTACCTTCACCAACTCAACAATGGGAGACAAAACTAAGTCCGCCGCAATACAATCACGCTTGAGAGACAACATGTGATGTCTGGCTGTTTTGCAAGGTGCAAACTTTCGGCGTGCCTTTAGCTACTCGGTACCCACTTCCCTTGACCCATCTCTGCCTGCCGTTTCAAAAGTGACGAAATTGTCGCCCTACGCAGAGCGTTATGTCTATGGACAGAGAGCACCGGAGAGTGTAGCTTGAGCTTCAATGCAATTCTGAATGTCTTGCACGCAGGATCGACGGTATCGTCGGACTAACAATCACTGTGAGACATGCTCACTCAACGCCTGCGCAGTATTAGAGACTTCTTCCTCGATCCATGCTTGCGATGCGACTTATTACGGACGAGATTGAGGGACTCCAGTCCGAGCTGAGTATCTTCAAGGTATCTTTGAGCAACTATCGCAGTTATACCTAGATTTCATCCGTAGTGAACGTAGGTAACCTCTTGATCCTTCTGCCAGCTTCCAACACATCTCCATCACATGCGGAATTTGAACAGATCGAAAGTGGTCCGCTGTCAATCAACTTCGCCCTTTCATGGTCAAATTATGTTTGCTGCCACCAGGCAATCTTCGCCCTGCTGATGGCTCCTATGTCATCTGTAGACGTAGATGTAAAGTAGATGTCTTGAAGTGAATCAACGCCGCTAGCCAGCTCGGTCCAAGGATCCGAGGGAGTACGGTGGACTTTTAGCGACTTCCCTGCAACAACGCGATCTAATATAGCTTAACGCTACTAAGTGGAGTAATTTTACACCTCGCTTATTGATTTAATTGCCCGTATAATTACATGTAATAAACGTCGTTATTTACTTATATGTGTGTAATATTACCGTCCCGTTATTACTTAGTTACCGGTCCTAATATATAACGGGTTTCGGTTACCTATATCTTACTTTAATGCTGCTATTATGCATATACTTCTGCTAGTAACTTATTATACGCGTAAGAGTAATATTTATATACTATAAGACTCTTCCCTCTACCCTTCTACCGTCTCCCCTAGTTCTCCTAATAACTACTATATTTAACACTCTAATTAGCACTCTTACTACCTATCCTCCCCTCTTTGCTCTATTCTACCTCTCCGTATAATAACCGAGAAGGAAGTTCGCCGCTTCGGTATAGGCGACGTCGACCTATAGGATATATACTACTCGTCGGACGATAATAGTAATCTATACCTTATAGTTAACGACGATAATATAAGTAAAGATAATCGCCTTACCTAGACGAGACTAACTAGTACAATCTAGCTTAAGACTAGTAGCCTCTATATTACTAAGGAATAGGCGGAGATAATCGATATAGCGAGTAGCTACGCCTTAAAAATTAAGAAGACCTAGGACCCGGCGAAGTAGATAATGCTTAAAGACCGTAAGAATACTATAGACTCGATAATTATCTAGAGCCGGTTAGTACAATTACTTCTAATTAAGATCTAAGTATCCTTACTAATAGATTCGTAGCGGTAATATTATTAACTAGGAATGTACCGCCTACTAAGGCCGGCCGATTCTAAATAAAAACGAGCGAAAAGAGGGTAGAGGCCCTTAGAAGGTACTTTTTCTCCGCCTTCCTCCTATATAAAGATATTTAAAGCTAATAATAGCAGGAATATATAAAATAGGAGTATATAATAGAGGGTACCTATAGAAATTATATCTAGAATAGTAAGAAGAACTTATACTCCGTAAACACCTTAAACGACCGTATCCTTAAGCATAAATAGAGCGAGAATACTAGTAATAACCCTAATATAGTAGGTAATACGGCAGATCCTTAGTATAAGGGTATAAGATTCCCCCGTAAGGTAAGTGCGAAGAAGGCGAGCCGTAGTAAGGGAAAAGGTAAATAGTAGAGGCTATCTCCTCCTCTAAGTAGTATAATAGTACTAAAGTAGTTTTAGAGGTAGGTATAGAGCTAGCTCTAAAGCTTATTATTTCTTTCTCTCTCCCCTTTTCCTTTTATAAGATATTCTATTTCCTTTATAGAACTAAATTAATAATCGGAGTATATACCCTTTCTCTAGTACTATTATACGGCTACTATTTATAGAGAGAAGGGTTTTATCTCGGTAGAATGTAGGTGTCCCTTTTTCTATACTTTGTATTTACTTTACTTATTTTCGAAAATAAGACTATATCGCTATTCCGCCTCTCGTATTCCTCGAGTATACTATTATTCCCTTTTACTATTATACGCATACTCCGTAAGGAGAAAGCACAAGATATTTGTAAAATAGCTAAGTCCCCGTTTTATTTACTTTATATATTCTCTCCTAAGTAATAATACCTACCGGGGAGCGAGCACGTATATTACGTATTACTTACTTCCGACCGGTATAAGTAGTATTAGGTGCTATTATATATATACTAGATAGAGCTTTATAGTAGTAACTATAAAATAGCACTCTCTTTTAAATTCCTTTTCCTTATACCTTTACTAATATTCTACGGCATTAAATATAGTAATTAACATTCTTTTACTATATTAACACCTCTTCCCTCCTCTACCCCTCCCCGTATAAAGCGCGACTACTACGATAGCGACTATAGAGTTCCGGCTATAGTTACTTAACCTTAATATCGATAAAGTAGGAAGGCGTAGAGTCGACTACCGTAGAACTAAAGTAAGAGTTAAAACGCTAGATAATATCTTTAGGACATTTAGACTAACTAGTACAAAATAGCTCCGAGATGCTAGCCTTCTCTTTACCCTACTCCTCTAAGACGAGATAGACGATAAGGCTAGCTACCGGTTTTCGATAAGGGATCCTATATAGGACCTAGCTAAGTATATTAAGTATCGTTAGTTATATACAACCTCTCTACTTATCTAGAGCCGGTTAGTACAATTATTTCTAGTTAAGATCTAAGCATCCTTACTAATAGATTCGTAGCGGTAGCGTTATAGGTACTAGCGCACACCTTACTACTAGCGGGCTATATACCCGGTACCTAGCGGGTAAGGGCCCGTTCTAGGTACGAGACCTCTATTATTCTCCCGTATAAAGATGCTATATACTAATAGAGGTAGTACTATATAATCTAGCGTAATTACTTCTACAATTATTACGGAAATTATAAGTTTTAAGATTAGGCGACCGAATATAGTTATAACATCTAGAACGAGTATTTAGACTCGTCGATAGAGGAGGAGGTAGAGAAGCTACTAAGTATAATCCTTAGTAAGACTAGAACGAGAAGCATATTAGCGCTAGCGCGTACGGCTAGGATAGTAGAGTATTATATTAAACCCGAGGTAGAGCCTAAGAAGAGGGTACGGAAGAGCACTAGAGGAGGTAGAAAGTAGAGACTACCTTCTCCGGCGGGCTATATAATAGTATCTTAGTAGCGGTTAGGGTTTATAGAGCGTAATTCGAAAGAAATGTAATTTTAATTTAGCTCCTTATTCCTCCTTCTAAGATCGGCATTTTCTAATTATTAATCTAAAATATATATCTAGGTGTTCTTACTTTCTCTCTACGTATCTCTGCCGTATAATTAGTAGAGAGAGTTATCGTACTTAAGACGTTTATAATATAGCTAATCCTTAATATTAAAAACCTCCTTCCTAAATAGGCAATATTTTAAAATATTTTAAGAATTAGCTCTACGGATCCTAAAAGTATAAAGCCTTTCCCTATATCTATTATATATATATTTCCCGTAGGGGAATAATTACCTTACTATTATTACTTCGTAACCGAATACTAACGATAATCGTATATATCTAGGTTATCCGCCGAATACGCGGTAATAATAGGACCCGGGGAGCGTAGAGTGTACCTAATAAGTAATTTACATAACTTTATACGCGTACGGGTAATGCCTACGAGGAGTATAAGACTACTACTTATATTCCTTCTTTATCTTTAAACACGATCTACCTTACTTTAATATCTAATATATTCTTTAATACTTCTATACCTTACTATACCCTCTAACCTCCTCCTTATCTCCTAGTATAAAGTAGAATTATTACTAAATAGCTCCCTATATGCCTAAATCTATCGACGCTAGCTTAGCTAGCCTAGAGCTATAGCGCTAGATCGACGTTCGTAGCGATAAGGTAAGAGGTAAAAGGTTAGATAATAGCGCTTAGGACTACGAGACTAACTAGTATAAACTAGCTCTAAGTAGCCGGCTTCTAGTTCGACCTTATAGCTAGCGAGCTAATAGATAAGGCTAAAGGCTCCCTCTTCCTCTACCGTACCTCCGACTTCCCCTCGATAAAGTTCGACTAGACTATAATAGCTGCTCTCCTTATCTAGAGCCGGTTAGTATAATAGCTCCTAGAATTAATACCGGCAGCTAATAGTACTATAGCGGAGTTAACTAGTATAACAATCGGACGAGGGGTAGAAATAACGAGCAATACGGCCTATATATCTAGTAGAAGGGCCCGTTTAAGGTATATCTTATTACGAGCAGCCCGTATAATAGTAGCAGAGGCTAATAATAGTAGGAGTACGTAGTCGCGAAGGGCAGTAAGAACGATGCCTACGGAAATTACGTATATCGGAATGTCTTTAGTAAGGGTAATAAGTACACCCTAGATCGGATAAATAGGTCTTAAACAAGTGCTACGACCTTCTCTCTCTACTTTATACGGGGGGTTTAATACGAGCGATAGTGCGTTAAATAAGTTTAAATATGTAGTAGATTTTTATTTTTAGTTTTCTTAACTTTTAGAACCTCTAAATATCTTTAAATTGCATCTAAATCCTTCTTTACGACCTTTTTACCTATAAATATCCCTTCGCTCTATACAATTATACTACTATTATTTGCTA